CCCACTGTCGGACAGGTGGCGTGGCCATTGTGGGGAGGAAGCTGAGATGGCAGGCTTCGAGAGCTAGTCTCACAAGCCGTGTGAAGATAGGGATTAGATAACGACAGCAGAGTTGTCGACAAGCCTCCGAGGCAAGCAACCCAGGAAGAAAGTCAGATGCTGCTGGAAAAAGAACAAATACAATTCCCCGAGCGAAACGGGAAGGAAAAACCGGAACAGGGAGAGAAATGGAATTGAAGAAAGAAGTTGGTCGCCGCGCAAGGTTCATCGGCGCAGCGCTTCCAGGGCCAGCGCAGGCGCTTACTCAGCATCACATGATCAATATATATCTAATTGTTTCAGCGACGACAAGCTAGGATTATCATTTCCAACCATCGAAAGATCTTATTTATCACCGAAATAATACCACTATATTATGCCGTCATTCTTCTGTAACCATAGTAGCTAATTGAGCGTGCTCTGGAGCTTCTGGGCTAGAGAATTGACGACATCACTGTCGTTGTCTGCAAAAAATTGAGAGAGCTTGTTATCAAGCCATTCAACATCCTCCTTACTATCGCCTGGACCTCCTGCCCAATCTATCGATGGATTAACTTTCTGTTCACTTGAGATTCTGAATTGGTATACTCACGACCCCAGATCGAAGGAAATATATCCAGTGTCCCAATGCCTGGCTTCATACAAGCAACCTCATACTCCGAGTCTTCGGGCCTAATATGATATAATTCTCAGTCTATTTTCACTTCTTTCAAAGGGGAGAATATCAATATTAACTTACGGGAAGTAAAGATCCGTTTTTGCTGGCAAAACCAGCGCTTTGGCTTTGATGGATGCCATCGCTTTTTCGAAGTCCCCATTGTATAGATCTTGCTGCGAGACATCGCCATTTTGCCAGGTCTGTAGCATAACCAACATATTTTCGGGTTCTTTAAAATATCTGTCAGTTCTCTGACGCAACTTGCCCATTGGGATTAAACGGTACCTTTAGAACAAGCCCATTTCTCCCAGAAGTTAACCATGAAGTCTTCAAGGCCCTTGAAACCTAGCTTGGTTTCATAAAACTTCTGCCGATAGAAAGCCTGGCTAAACCCCCTGTTGCCAATGGGTCAGATAGGAGATAAAAGAAAGTTTATCATGAAATAACTTACCATCCAGCATACACACGGCCCAATGCTTTGAGACCAATATCCTTCTCTTCAGCTGTCCAAGCATGCGCTTCTGCGGTCTCTCTATTAAGGCCGATCTTTCCACATCCCGCAGATCGGCTCTTCTTTACTGCAATCAAGGAGCTTTTGACACCCTCAAGGAAGACCTGGTTGTGCAGCGAAGTTTTCGCCGAGGTACAAAAGGGGACCACAATATCCATGAAGTCGGGATACTGTGTTGCCCACTGAAACGCCTGAGCCCCTCCCATAGACCAACCAACAACAGCACGTAAATGCGTGATGCCCATGTGTTTGGTAACGAGCTCATACTGCGCCCGCACATTGTCATAAAATGACACCTTCGGGAATGGCCCGGGGCTCGGCTGGTTGGATGGAGAAGAGGACTGGCCATTTCCAAACAAGGCTGGAACTATAATGAAAAAATTGTTGGGGTTCAAGAGTTTGTCGTCTCCGATTAACCAAAAGTTGTCGGAGATGGCTGGAGCCAGTATTAGCGCTGCTGTATCAGGGAGAATGTAGGACCATATCTAGATATACCTCCGGAAAACCAGGTCGGATACACAATTGCTGGAGACTTAGGATCGCCGAATGTCTTGTATGCGATGTGAGCATCCTCGATCTTCTCCCCACTCTGGAGCTCCCAGTTGCCAAGCTTGAAAGTTTCGTATTGCTCCTGTGACATGGTCGCGCTTTTCCCCCTGATGGACACAAAATGAAGTGAAGTGGTTAGTATTCAGTAAATGGGCGTCCTCGAATTTATAGTTCTACAGTTCGAGATAACTCTCAACCCCGCTCTGCCCGCCACATCAAACACGGCTTGGATCGGAGGTACCTTATCATCCGCAAATTTGAAATATACGTGTGTGAAACATCTCATCAAGGAGCCTTCGAAGCATCGGCGAGATATCTAGTAAGCAGCTTAGGTCTATCTATGGGATACCTAGATTCAACCTAAATTTTAGTCAAGAACTTTCTGAGATAGGTTATGTGGTGCACCAACTAATGCTTACAAACCTTCCACTGGGATACCTAGTGTGGGGATCTCAAGAGCCCAGGAGCGTGGTGGACAACCTTGGCTAGAAAATCCCACATAAAGATTACATATACTGTTGGGTTACATATTGCGTAACAATAAGAGTTATACAAGCTGATTTATAATCTATATACTCCTGGTCGCCCCAGAACTCTTAAATGACAAATCTATTTGAATTCAAACCGAACCCTCAAATTGCGGCCTGGGGATCTCCATAGCCTCTGTGGTTCGACCGTATGAGATACCACCTAGGCGACTAATAGGCTTAAGAACATTCAAATCGACGACATTCCTTTCCTCGTTGATGGCGTCATCCCTAACCCAGAAACGAACGCCCTCAATAATAGCAAGCACGGCCGATTTCTTACCCGGGGTGACCCGACTCTCAAACTCCTTCAGCTCAAGAAGTTTGCCCTCGATAGAAAGAATGGACTCCTTAACACGGGCAGGCTTCACAACAGAGGTAGGCGCCTGGTGCAGCCCCGACGTCTCCCACTCGGAGACACCATAGGGGGCATTGATAGAAGTGGAATTGGCTGCTTCAAGGAAATGCTCAGAGATAATGTTGATAACACACTCCCCTGTCTCGTTCAGGTTCTTCAATGAATCCTTGGCTTTCTCCATCGACCCAGAAAAGCCAATCGTGAACATCGGTGGGTCATGGTTGATGACCTGTGCGTAGCTAAACGGAGCGAGGTTTGTAGTCTTGCCATCTGCAGACTGAGTGCTGACGAGTGCGATCGGTCGTGGGACCATTCCTGAAATCAGGAACTTGTAGTTCGACGCCACGGAACGGCCCTCTTCGTTGGGATCGATCTCAACGTGATCCTTCTTCAGGCACTCGCCGCCGTCATTTGCGCCATCGCCTTCCTTCCATGTGGGGTTTGGGGACTTGGTGTAGGTGATCTCAGCATCATGGCGAAAATCTGGCCGCGAGGCCTGGATTTTCTCGAATTCCGGGCGGAGTTTGAACATTGCGCAGGTGTTGTTAAAGAGTCGAGTGGGATGGTTGGGTTGGAATAGTGCGCGGGTTGTGAGACGATCAGCACTTGGGATTATAAATCAGCTTGATGCCCACTTCAGTGTGTATGCCCCGCGAGATGTAGTGACGAGAGAGTCTGTCATGCTGGCTATAAAGTGCAGTCAGTGAAATACTAACTAAGATTGCAACAATGAGAGCTTCCGAGTATTTCGGCAAGAAGATCCAAGTAGAGACATGGGAAGAATGGACAGAGTTCTTTTCATGATCTTATCGAATTTTACAATCTCTAATTCAAGCTTCGATTGCAGCTAAATGCCACGGACAGAGTGGCTGGAAATATGTATTGCCACGCGCTTTACTCATACAAAGCGTGTGTATAGACTCCCTCTACCGATTATCGGGCCGACTCCGGGGATACGGGGGAAAGGGAAATCAAACCGAGCCACATCATAAGTTTAACTGGTCCACGAGTGCTTTTCAATCTTATACGTAATAAAACTGCTTAGTGGGCTCGAATGAATTGTGAAATTGTGCAACTGTGTATTATTGTATAGAAATCTGTAAAGCTAAGGTTGAAGCCCTACGGAGTACTACATATAAATCGCAAGCTTCTTCTCTCGGGACATGAAAGAATACTATAGGTGTATGTAGTTACTTTTTACGGACTACAGGGATAAGGACTTTCACCTGTTGAGGAGAGTTTGGGGTAGTAAAAAAAAAAAAGGAAGTAAAAATCTTTTAAATCCCCCAAATCTCCTAAGTCTCCTAAATCTCCCAAATGGCTTGAATGGCTTGAAAGCACCGTTCACCTGACCTTCTGGAAACTGCCTGTTGTGGGCCCTGTCAATAAATACTGTATTCTAGAATCTTTCAGGGTGGAATTTCCCAAACAGGGAAATCTCCAAGCTTTTAAGATAAGCTTAAATATATACCATGTACACTACCTGTATAACAACTGAAGAACTATTTTAGATTCCCAGAATATATCCATATAGCTACATGTTGAAGAAAAATATATGAATCCCCCAATTCTGCATGTGATATACTCTGAAAACGTGGGGAGAGCGAAATATATCCGGGCCTAAATCCACTCTCCCCATAAATACTCCATATGTCCCGAAGTTTGGATTCTAGACATCCGGAGTTGAACCGAATCTTTCATTTGATATTTCAAGTTCATTTTGAAATCTATTTTACAGTTCCATTTTATTTGAAATGTTAGTCTTTACATATCTCTCCCTATATGTAATATGTAGATGTACAAAGGTAGCCCTGGAGGGTCTATGTGAGAAAAGTGATTACGATATATGATATATAGAACCCAAGTCTTGGCACGATCGCTCCAGACACATCCCATGACCGATTTTGTCCCTCCCAAACAGGGATGGCGTGGCCCTGTTTTCGGCGTAGCGGTCAAGGGGGAAAATTCGATGTTTTCAATCAGAACATTACCTTACCACAAATACATCGTGAGATTTCCAAAGAGGTTTCGGAAGTGTAAAATGTGCCCTTGGAGTGGCGTAGTACAAGCGAGGGCAATCACGAGGCCTTATCGACTCCCCTCTTCCCCCAACTTTTCTCCCTTGAACACTTCGCACCACTTTCCGATCCCTTATTGGCCTTGAATATTGGCCCCCGTTTATTTCCCTCATGAAGTTTTTCGCTATCGCACACCTTCCATACTTCATCTGTTCGATCCCTACTCCTTCCTCCCTAGAACTTAGAACCGAAGCTCCGCGCCGAGAACCCACCGACTCGTTGAAGCTAGGACTGTACAGGTACCCAATGGGTCGAGGTCACGGATAATTATTGGCTCGCTATGAGCCCTCCTTCTCCCAAGAAGAAAAATGGCGGCAATCCTTCTGCTCCAAGACAAATCCGCTTTGTCGCAACCGACGGCCAGCCGCAAACCAAGCGCCGCCGCGTTAATGCCGCGTATGTGGATCGTATTGAATTCAAATTTGTCGGTGAAGACGCTGACGTCACTTTCGTTTTGGCTATAGTTGTTTAACATGTCGCCGGCGCAAGATTCGATGTTCTGGCGAGCAACCAGGTAGGATACACAGTGTCTCGATTGCGGATATGTTGCTGACGGGGTATATGAGAGGGTAGTGTGCAAGACTTGCTCCGACTATAAGCATGTCTGTCTCGGATACACTGAATCGACCGCACACCTGCGAACACAGTCCGACTCCGCATCTCGAGCGCCGCCGCGCCTTTCCGCTCCGAACGAATTGAGCGAGCACGCTTCCCGGGCAGTCGAGAGCAGCTCCCCCGAACCAATGCCCATAACGATACCAAAGGCCTGTGCAGATAAGCCCAAGACGAAAGCGCCCGGATCAAAAGATGCGTCTTCTTTTGGGGATAACTCCTCTCTTGCGAACAAGGAATTGGATACACAGCCTGTTGGGGACAGCCCATCCAGTGGCCGTACCTCTGTGAGCTCAGGGGGTCGCACGCATGTCCCTTATTTTCGATACTTCGGCCCTACCGCGATTGTACCGGGCTTCAAACAAATGGTTGTGCAGGTTCGAGGTTCTCGCAGGAGTAACCCCTCCATGTCCTCAGACTCTCCCTCCCCTCTTCGAAGCCCTAAACCGTCCGATATCAGCACAAGGCCCCTTGCCACTGCCGCGGATAGTCGGGACAGTCGCGATTCCAATATTCCATTTTATGACCGAGATGACGCAGTTCCGGTTTCGAATCTTGTATCGCATTTATGTGAACTCTTCTTTGCCCACCTGGGCTGCAGCTTTCCTTTCATACAACGAGAGAGATTTCTTCAAGACCTCAAAGAGAAAAAGGTTGACACCATGTTGGTAGATGCAGTTTGTGCATTAGCTGCGAGATTCTCAACACATCCATCACTTGGGCCTCCACAGGCTCCTCCCATCGATCGTTCACAGCCCCTACTCGACGATAAAAAGTGGGATCGTGGTCTGCCCTTTGCTCATCGCGCGATGAGCGCTCTTGTGGATTCACTGCCATGCCCAACTCTCCCTGCCGTCCAAGCCTGTTTATTACTCGCTTATGAGCAATTCGGATCAAATCATGACAGTGGACTCTGGATGTACCTTGGAATCTCAATTCGCATGGCACAGGACCTCGGATTGCAAAAGTTCCAAGGCCTCAAACATAATTATGGCAAGACCGGCGTTACACCGAGTGAAGTGATGACAGGTCAAGCCGGGAAACTAAGAGAGGAACAATATGATGATCTTGATGTGAATCTGATACCCATGACTACCCATACCCCACAGCCTTTGGTTGAGGAACGTGCCCAGGAGCGCGAACGGGTAGACTCATTCTGGAGCATCTTTTTCCTAGACCGAGTCATCTCTTCGGGTACCGGGCGACCAGTGACACTACGCGATGAGGATATTGAACTCTGCTTCCCTCTTCAGTCTGAATCCCAGTTACCAAATGGGTGGCCAGCGCCTTTCCCACCGCTTATTCGGATCATTCATCTGTACGGCCGGGTGACCGACCTCATCAATGGCATTCAGGATGTTAAGCTCGTCACGCCGGGCACGTTGAAGATGTTGGCTGGGATGGAAAGTGACCTGACTGGAATCTATCAACGCTTGTCCCCAAGACTTCATTTCAACGCAGCCAATTTTCAAGCTTATGTCAAAGCCAAGGAGGGAACCAATTTCATTCTTCTCCATTTTTGGTTTCACACTCTCATCGTTCTTCTTCACCAACCGACGTTATTGAACTCATTTGGTGGATCAATCCAACATCTCTATCCGAATAGTCGTGAGCTGTCAATGTCATCTGCCAAAACTATTGCCGATATCCTGTCCTTCTCAGAGCTTGTTGATGGGAAAAGCTTTATCGGGAACCCTTTCACGAGTCAGCCGATGTACATTGCGGCGTGCGCATTCCTCATGGAAAGCGCGTACTATGCATCTCCATCCTCGGGGGATGAGTCAGCGCCACCTCGGCCATTGTTAGCAAATCAATCCAGTGGGTTCGTGATGCCTACCATGGAGTCATCAAATGGGACAGAGCGGAAGTCTACAGCGAAGCACATTCTGCTTGCTTCTGCTGCCAGGGAGAATTATCAGCGGTGCTATAAGGCTTTGAAAGCACTCAATACGTATTGGGAAGGCACTGGGTATATTTTGACAGTGCTGGACCAGAAGGCCAAGGGAATTGTCGATCCCCTACTTTATGCTGTGGAGGATATGGGAAACGCTGCAGGTATTGCCCCAGGGCAACATCTCGGGCCCGGAGCTTGGCATGCGGGCAAAACACCGGCAGACTCTGGCGTTGACTCAGGAAAACCAGCTGGGGTTGCGGATATCTCATTGGACGGGAAATGGTCACCACATATTGATCCAAGTCAAGGTTTGTTGGGTACATTAATCTCCATGATAAGCATACCACTAACAGCTTATGCCTCGACAGCTATCGGATGGGCACTTACAGGAGCCACAAATTCTTCACAGCCCAACTTGAGTCTACTCTATCAGATGTCGGCCACTGAAGCTGAGTCTTCGTCCAATAGACCAGCATACTCGTCGCAGTACAGCCACAGCTACCCAGTCCTACCAACAAATGCCGGCGAAGGGCCAAGCTCTTCATATCCACAGTCTATTGCACCAGCTAGGGCCCACGAAGAAATGACACCCTCGCTCACGACAGAAAATGCTAAATACCGCAATGTTCAATCCAGAACAGTTAACACCAACCCCTCTTATTACATGGGCATGAATCCAACGTATTCCGAATCAAACACACGGACAACACACGCGGTACAGACAACACAATCTAGTTTCCCTGGAATGCTATCCTCCGGGATACCAACTTCACATATGGATACCCGGCCCTCTGCCTATAATTACTCAATGCCTCAAGCAACAGCCGAGCACCAAACCAGAAACCAAATGGGGTCTCGCGACCCAGGTGCCGATCTCCAACCTATCATGGATGATACTAGCGGGATGATGATCGGGAGTCATGAGGTCGATATGAACGCTATCCACCATCAAGACTCTTTTCCGTTGGCTAACGGTGAGATACTTCCGTGGCTCGAATACCTTCCTCAGGATGTCCTGAGTTTCTTTGGTGACCATCAAAATTATCCACTTATGAGCCCTGATGATGTGTCACGGCCTCCGTAATGTTTGATGTTCCATTCTTCTTACCGTACATACTTATATATTTTGGGCGGTTTGCATTTGCCTGTGTTCCAGCAACTGGCTTATGCTTTTGTTTATATATTTCGGACTGAGATGTGATTTTCTGGCGTCAGGTTGGATGATATCCTTGGCCAGCACTAGATTGCCTTGTTTTTGGTTGTGTATGTCCAAACCAGATGTATGTTTGACTCGGGGGTTTAAAATATCTATAGCGTGCAATCATTTTCGATAGACTCAAAACAAGAATTCCTTGCAGCATTGATTTATCTGAAATCCTAGAAGACATAAACATGGCCATGATAAGTTCCATGATAAGTTCCATGTTGAATATCCGAAAGTGTACTCGAGTCATGTGGCGGATGATCGACAATGTCAGTTGGTTGCCCAGAACAACGGGGGCGGTGAAGCACTCGTCAACACACCGTCGAATGTCTGAGATTCCACGTTGACACAAAGGGAGGAGGTATGTGAGATCTGGTTTTACCAAGTCTCTAAATCTTTGTTTTGTTACAGACCCTCGGAAGATTCAGAACGCAGCCCCCCGCCAGCCATCGCATGATAATCTCATGGCACGGTTACATGACGACGGTCAACAAGACGTCAATTGCACAGAGATCCTAAGTCCCCAACCATTTGCCCCTCCAGGCAAAGGCTTCCTCGTATCCTCTCTCGAGTCCGGCAACGGGATAGACCCTGCCGATAATGCCCAGATGTCCTCCCCCCAAGAATATGGATACAACTCTTCCTCCTCCTCCACCCGCCATTCAACAAGCGACGTCTTCGGCCGTGAAATGGACGATGAACTAGACCAGCTGAAATCCAGAGCATCGAGTCGCTCCTCACTATCCTCAATTCCAGCCTCCGTCCTCATCCACCCAGTCGACAGAATGAAACAAATGCCAGACATGGACATCCACGAAAAGATAGCGGGCTATAGAGTAGAAGAGTCCGAAGCTAGCTTCGGCGACTTCAACGACGTCCCAGCTAACATCCGCACCATCCGCCACCGCGAAGCCGCATTCCGAAAACCAAGTTCCGTCAGGGCAATGCAGATGCACACAGAAGACGAGGCCGACGAAGACGAGTATCTAACGCCCCCACGCCGACGACCAGGCCTCCGCTCACGGTCACCTGGTGCTTCGCCACTAAAACGATCACCGCGATCACCGTACTACTCGCCAAATGCCTCGAAACAACCAAAGCCGAAGAAGGAGGCTCCACTCGTGCTGCTGCATTGCACCCTTCTCCCACCCTCCATCCCAGTACATGGAGCAGCAGACCCAAGAAACCAGGGCATCCTGGAAGACGAGCTACCGGCGGAATACTGGAAGCGATGGCGGCGTCTGCAAGACCGGGTTGGATCAGGTGTGCTTCGCGATCGCGGCGTGTTGATCTCGCACCCGGAGGATCTGTACGATATTCTAGAGGAGCGGCTACTGGAGAGCCTCGAGCTACAGCGGCCACGTCTTCAGAACGGACACTTCGTGGGTCGGGAGGACGATGGTTCTGGCTCTGAGGGGGATTTCTCAGATGTCGAAGAGAGTGAAACGGACGGCGAGCAGGGTGATGAGTGTCCCGACTGTGGGAACCATGTGCGACACGGAGATAGTAACCGGAAGTGGGAGATTCGGGTGTTTGCTGCGAACGGCCTGATGCGCGCTGGGGCTTGGGCTGCTGCGTGGCGCGATATGGAGAAGGTTGATGTCGAGGTTGGACTTTGGTTGCCTTCTGATGTGCGCCGTGGTCTGGAGAGGAGGCTTGCGGAGGAGCAGATGGCAATTGTGGAGCAGGCTCAGATTCAGACGCCGCAGATGCAAATGCAGATGCAGATGCAGATGTCGCCGATGAGTGATGGTGGGCAGCAGTCCCTACCAGAGATTCTGCAGTCGCCTAGACAGAGCCATGCTCGCATGATCAGCGATGTAGGCTCTTCCCAGTCTGATGAGATGACGTTCGGGAATGGTTTCAGTCAAGCTGAGGCTCGACTTGACCATGCGGCTGAGTTTGGACGGCAGATGAAGAAAGAACATGAGATTGCTCTCTCGACTCTCCTGGTCAATTATATCCGTGTTCTCGCGGCTGATAGACGCAATATTGCCCTGCTTATTCTCAGTGTCCTCGTGGTTTTCCTTGCTATTGGTCCTCGCCAGCAACATGTCTCTATCTACTCCCATCTTGGCTCTTTTCCTCAGGCCTTGCCGAATGACTTCCTGCACTCTTCGGATATGCCGCGTTTGAGTGTGGGTCCATCTATGTCTTCTTCTGTCTCTTTTGCGCGTTCTGTCAGTGCGACCGATGCACTAGTCGACAGCTCAGTTCGCTCTGTGCCGACTGACTTTGCGGCTGCTAGTGAGACTGAGGTGATTCCAATGCCTGAGATATCTGAGTCTGCTTCTCTGATTTTGGGCTCTCCTGGTTCTCACTCTCAGCCTCCGCACTCAGTAGAGCCCATAGAGACTACAGCACCACCCCAGCTGCTGGAGAATTACCAGGTTCAACTCGACGAGGCACCGGATTATGCTTCTTTGCCTGCTGTCCCTATGGAATCTCCCATTGTGCCTGTGGAGGCCGTGGAGCCTATAGAAACCACGCAACCCCAGTTTGAGGACAACGCAGATGCTGCTTTGGTTAACACTGTGGACGCTCCTGTTGTGTCTTCAGAATCCTCTCCTTATTCCACCGACTCTGTCGAGTCTTTCGTCTTGTCAGATGTATCTATAGAGACTGCACAACCCAAATTCGAGGACAATGCGCATGATTCTTTGGATGACACTATGGACTCTCCTGTTCTGTTAGATATGCCTACAGACAATGAGCAGCCCCAGCTTGAGAGCGAGACAGAAACATTTTTGGATGACACTGTTGAACCTCTCGTTATGCCCACTGAGTCTTCCTCCACTGACTCTGTCGTGTCCTCCGTTCTGTTGGATGTGACTACGGAAATTGCACAGCCTAACCCCGAAGACGAAAAAGAAGAGCAACACGAAGAAAACGAACAAACAGATTGATTTTGGAAAGTATATATATACCTTCCCGACCTTACGACTATGACTGGAACGATATCAGGCGAAATGTTTGGAATTTTTATGATTTTAACAATGTTCCTTTCCATTTTTGGCGTCTTTTGCTGATTTAGCCATAGCCCCTCGTTAGTTAAGATTTATGATTCTGTTTGTATTAGCGAGCCCCATCTAGTCTTTCTATAGTGCAACTTCATTAATTATGTTACAACATAAACATAACAAAAGACATGAAACAAAGCCAAGCCCTTAGAGTTTGATATCTCCACTTTGCCCCCAGGTCCTCTCCCGCTCGCTTAGTGATCATCCCTCCTCCAATAGATTATATATTTATCAAATATTCTTTACATATGTAGACAGATTTATTAGAATATATGCATGGAAATTATTTGAGTGTATGATGTGTAATAAATATTCAAGCTAATTCTTACATGCTGTACCTACATCTATCAAGCCTGAAGGTGATCTGTGCCTAAGACAATGCGGGGCAGCCCAAATCATAAGCCCTCTATGTTATACGTTGTCCCGCACAATGTAGATCAGGAACCAAAAACTGAAACTGAAGGCTCGATATTATTTATTATCGATTAAAGGTTAGTTGAACGAGTTCGATTTTGTATTGGGCAGGTTTAAGTGATTTGAGATCTCACTGGCCCAGCGAAAGTTATCCCTCAACCCAGCATAAGTCACAACCGGAAAAAAGTGCTAATCACGTCCAGACCTTCGTAAGCTTCGTGACAGGAACATCTAGTAACCGCCGCTCTGGCCACCGTTGTAGCCACCTTGGCCACCGTAACCCTGACCCTGACCACCGTAGCCGCCCTGGCCACCACCGTAGCCACCTTGGCCGCCGTAGCCACCCTGGCCACCGCCACGGTAACCACCGCCGCCGAAGCCGCCGCGACCACCGCCTCCGGCAGCACGCTCAGTAGCCTTGTCAACACGGATCTGACGACCGTCAAACCTGAAAACAAAAGGATGGTTGTTAGCACATGTTCTATTTTAACAGGGATAAAGACACTGTTTATGTCACGTTGGAGCAGGCGACGCCTATGCGCCGCTTATTCCAGCATGGGCATTGACTAATCGCTTTAAGAAGAAAACATGGAGAATTAGTTTGCTTACTCCTGGTTGTTCATGGCGTTCATAGCGGCAGTAGCCTCATCCTCAGTGGAGAAACGGACGAAACCGAAACCACGGCTGCGGCCGGTATCACGGTCCTTAACGACGGTCTAGGGAAAAGAAATAAAGGTCTTAGAGAGTGCAGATCAGTTATGGAAAGTGAGATCGACTCACAGCATCCTCGACAACGCCGAATTCCTCGAAGCGCTGGCGCAGACTGTTGTCGTCTGTGTTCCAGGAAAGACCGCTGGAAAATGAAGATTAGCAGGCGCATGGGGGAGAAAGTAGGAGACGCTCTTACCCAATGAAAAGCTTCGACATGTTGATGGAAATGGGTGGAGAGAGATCAAGAGAGAGGGGGAAAGGTGTTAAGTGTGAAGAGGGGCACAGCCGAGCCTGATCTTAAATACAACCCGGGACGGAACAACATCACCCCACAGATTCCTGTTTTTTCAGGCTTTTATTTTTTTTATTTTTTTGATTTGGATTTTATGTGTTTAGTTATTTGATATGAATTTGTCCCAGGTGGACATGTAAGAGTATGTTATATATACTTGTTTGGGTAATATGTTTACCTTTGTGTATAGATAGTTATCATGATGTACATAGTGGACCCATATATCCCCACGCTGTCGACGGTGGCGTTAAATTTATAACCTCATACAATATATGGCATGTTAAATACATCTGTATATTATATATTAGATATATTATATACAAGATAAGCATAAAAAATAGAATATAAATTAAAAAAAACAAGTATAATAGTATGATGGTGGAACAGAATAACTAAAATTAGAAAAACTACATCAGTACTTATGTAGTGCTCTCAAGGTTATTCCCGTCATGAGGTCATTATCCCCATCTACTACATCACCCCACCCATAAACCCCTTTCTATATAAAATCTTCTTTCCTTGATATTCTCTTAACCCATAAAAACTTCCAAATCATCAACATGCCTATCACTGAAATCACTAGGTAACCCTACCTCCTTCACTTGCACCAACACACATCTAACATCCATTACAGCAAAGCCGACTTCCTAGAGAAGATCCTTGGCTCTGACGATGCCGCCATCCTCGATTGCTACGCCGACTGGTGCCCAGCCTGCAAAGCCATCGCACCCAAATACGAAGAATTGAGCGATACCTACAACCAAGTCAAATTCTACAAGGTGGATATCGACAAGGTTGAGGACGTCGCACTGGAGCTAGGTGTACGGGCTAAGCCTACATTCATGCTATTCAAGGACGGAGGAAAGATCACTGAGGTTGTTGGCGCTCATTTGCCAGCCATTGAGCAAGGGATCAAAACTCATCTTCTCTAAGTGAGAGTGTGTGGCCGCCTTGTTCTTTTCTTTTCTTTTCTTTCACTTTTCTCACCCACTGAGATTCTTGCGCTCGTGGGATACATGACTCCAGCCATTTGATAGGCTGGTTACTTTATGATGCGGACAATGTCATCAATCAGACATCTGCAAATGTGGTTCTGATTTTAATGGATGTAGCACTTTTATCAAAGCTGCCCAAAAGGAATCAAATGATGATAATTTCACTTTTGTAGTGCATTCATACAGATATCGCCGAAACATTGAGACATTCTCACGTGTAAAATGCCTAACTTGTGCGACCTACAAACAAAACAGCAAAGCAAACATCAATTATCATACCAAAAATGGCATCAGAGGTCCAACTTAGATACTCTCCTTGTAACCTTTCATATCTCATATACTAAAACCCAGAATCAATCAAATAAGTCGGCGGAATAGTAGGCCAAACATCAACCCCATCCAACATCGCCAAAATCATCCCCCCACTCTGATGAACTTGAATATGACAATGCATCAAGAAAGCACCGGGATTAACAACATGATACCTAATAACTGTCCAAGTCGGACCAGTGACAGCCGGCAATGTATGGAAGGTATCACGATACTGCGGTGTCTGTAGATTAAAGTTACCAGGAACAATCTGTACCGCTTCCGCGACCGAACCCCAATTGAAAGTCCCATTCCCCTGACCGATAATAAAATGCTTATTTGAGTGCTTGTGGATTGGATGCGGGGGCTGCAGGATAGTATCCGTCTGGAGAACCAAGTCGATCCAGGTATCATTCTTCGTTCTGATGATCAGGTCTTGAGGAATAGAGTTCTGGTTGAAGAGCAAGGGCTGTGCTTCCTCAAGCTCAAGTCCGTAGCTGGTATTACCGAGTCTCCAGCGGAAGGCAGTGCCAACCTGGTCGATATTCAGGAAGAATGTTTGTGCTATATCGTTTGAAGGGACGAGAGCTGGGAATGGGACGACCAGGGACTCGTCTAGGAAAACGGTATCTGCCGTGGTGGGTTGGTTGTTGATTGTGATCCATGGGTTGGTTGGACGTGTTAGCTGGGGGAGGCCGTGGTATCGCATTATCGCCGTTGTGTTGAGAATCTGGTTTATGCTGGCGCTGACCATGCGAACGGCGTAGTCTCCTGCTGGCTGGGTGAGAGGAATCATCACTGAGTAGCGGTTTGAGTTTGGAATTGTGACTGCATTGACCCTTTGGGGCTGGATGTATCGTCCGTCTATGGCGTATATGTACATGTCGTGCTCGTCGATTGAGAATGTGAGTTCTAGCAGGCCTGCCGTGCTAGTGAGATCCCAACTGACATATTTAGAGGCTGCGTTGACAGCAAATATTTCTTGGGGACCCTGGGATGGCACGCAGCCTTCGAACATAGTTGGCGGGATGGCAGCGTAATTGTGTGGGAAATTGAATACTGTTTCCGTGATATTGGGAGGAAAACACCTAGTGATGAAGTTAGTTCATTGATCAGAATCATTAAGATAGTCATTGGAGCATGACGGATCAATCTACTCACGCCATATCTGTTAGCCTTAGACCATCCAGGCTCGTCCTCTGAACGGGCGTTGTTAGGGCATCAATCTCGGCACGTGGCAGGCAGGTAATTGACCCTTTGCCATTGATGAGCAAAGCATTGGCACAAAATGCATCTGTCCCAGAGGCCATCTCAGCAGCCCAGATCTCCTCAGACGTAAGCACGCGCCACTCCGAAAGCAAGACGGGACAGGTTTCTTTCTCTGCGAGGGTCATAGCTTTCAACTCAGCAGGATCGGTTGCGATCAAACTAAAGGGCTTTTCAACAGTGGGAGCAGGGGTGATATAGATTGGTCCATAAAGTCCATCTTCGAGAGAGCCACGGTGATGCGCATGATACCAGTAGGCACCGTACTCGGTTGCTGTCCATCTATACAGGAACGAAGTGTTTGGTCTGATGGATCTCTGAGAGACACCAGGAACTCCATCGGACCAGGGAGTCCCCAGCTGTTCGATTCCTATAAGACACTAAGTTAATATGTGTGTACTAAACTAGATCAAGCTCGTCATAAAGCTTACCATGGAAGTGTATAGTGGTATTGAACGGGCACCGGTTATCAACGAGGAACTCAACATTGTCACCCTGGTTGATCCGCAGCGGGGGACCAGGAAACTGGCCATTTGTCGAGATCACTGGCCTAGTCACTCCTGCGACGCTTCTCTCCGACCACGTCAAGGTAACTGGAAAGAACACTGTAGCTGCAGTTGCCCATTGGACGAGGCATAGAAGCCAAAGAGAGCGACTGCCTAGAGGGGACTTCATATCTAAAGATGACACTAGACTAACAATCTATAATGGCCTGTTCTTGATATTTTCTGCTTTGCACGGGATTTCCACCGATTTATATTGGTCCAGGGAGGCCCATAAAGCTTTGTGTGAGCCATATCCGTCTCAATCTCACTCATGGAGCTTTCATGCAGGTCTATCGTATCCGATGCAAGATTTTCATGGGAGCCTTCTTGCTTGCGAGCTCGTAGAGACGCAAAGTAAAGGAATGACTAAGTCAAGGCTCGGGAACCAATCTAACCCCTCGGGGAATAGGCGAGAGATTCTGAATTAGCTCGGGATTCTTTTATTTGAAGCAAGGGACCCGATTGGGAGCAGCAGGGTGAGTCTGGGGCGAATGAAGGAGTCCAATTTCAAGATACCCATTCACATTTCGGAGACAGTAGTCCCGAAAAGCAGCTTGGCGGTGCTGTAGGGATATGCCTACGAGAAAGCTGTTGGCACCTGCTTATGTGTAAGCTGAGAAGCTCTGATCCAGGTCCGAGACAGGGAACTCTTTCAGCCTCGGCACGTTACCGAGGTGGTGTATCCGGGACGAATGATGCATGATGGATGCAAAGTTTCCATGGCTGTGGGAGAGGCTGACTTGGGTCTGAGTATGGGTATTCCGGCACTTTGCATGTCACACAGGTGCGAGCCAATATCACTGGTCTGATCAAAGAACTGCCGGTCTCGGTCGTCATCGGATTGTGAGTCAACCAGTCGCAGGTTGGGTTTCATGGAAGAAGGGTCGGCGGAAACCTCAATCCCGGACTTAGCATGGACGCCACGTGCTGATAATTGAATCAAGGTACGCAATTTTCAGGATAAATCAAAAGACTTAGGTGAGGGAGAGTATACAAGGGAGCCTACGGGGGTCGGATTCCAAATTGAACCACCCAACAGTGAGGTGTGGAAGCTGCCTGGATGGAGCTAAGATCTAAAACAAAAAAAAGAGAAGTTGAAAACGCCAATTGATTTGTATGTAGTATTGTTGAAAATGCGGTTAACTTCCAAATTATATGCTAGGAAACAAGAAATCCTCCAACAATTTCGTAGGATTGAACTTTTTCTTGCCGTGCATGACGCTCCATGGGGCAAGTAAATGGAATCACAAACATTAAAAGTTGACATTACCAAAGTACCCCGGCGTGTCATCATGGGTAGCATCTGATGCAGGAGGGTGGTCCACTTTAGAATTGAAAACAGCAACTGGATCTGACGCAGGCACTGCACCCATAAGAGACGAGGAGACGGGCTGATCAAGTAAGCCTCTGTTTGGCCATCCTTGTTCTTCGGGGCTTTTTTGACCGGCACCATCTAGATGCAGGCCTTCCAAATCATCGGGGTTTATTTCGCCATAGCTATCGTTCAGTCGTTGTAAGAATTCCGGGTCAAAGCCCATTTGTATCAGAGGGTCAGCTGCGCCTTCTCCCGGTATAGACGCACTGGTCGGAAGACTACTACCCCAACCCGTAGAGATAGATGGATCTGCACCAGCTGACATCATCCCTGCACTACCAGCGTAACTGCCTGATAAACTCCCCGGTCGGCTGGGTCCAGCAGAAGAAAAGCCGGTGCCAGGAAATCCGTGACTGCGAAGACTAGGGCTGGAGACTGCAGGGCTGTGGATGGGGGCGCCTCGGCATACTGTTCGCGCTAGCACATTGATCTCTCGGGGCGCAGCTCGGAGGCCGCCATTGACAGCGAATGGGGGCTGCATGCCCAGATCGGCGAATTGGATGCTGTCGTTGTTCACAGGAGTCTGTAATCCACAATCACGCTTGAGAACACCCAGCCAAACAATATTATCTGCGCAGGTCTGATTCCAAGGATCGTCACATCCATAGATGACACGGCGAGCTTCTGCTTGTATCATCTGATCTGATGGAATAACACCTTGTGCCTTTTGGTTATGGATGTATGTAGTGAGTTCGACAGAAAGTCGATGGTAACAATTGATATCAGTAGGAACAGGAAGTCTAAGTGCGCTACCATCTCCCTTAGAGTGCTCAGTACCCCAGGGATCAGGGGACCGCCATTCATAGTCAATCATGTATGGGGGAATGGCATTTTCAACGCGAGCTTGAATCTGCGGGTCAAAGCCCCAGTCCCCTTGCCATTGAGCCATGCTGGCTCCATTTTTGAAATGGCCGGCCAAATGGTCGACTCGATCTTTCCATGTCTGGAAGATAGAGCCACAGAACCCACAGCGGGATTTGATATCTGTAATGCTGCTCTGCCATTTCTCCATGCAGGGTTGGAACTTGGCATTGTGCATCAAACGGAGGTGTTGGTTGAGATGATCCTTCCGGTAAAATGTTCTCTCTTGTACTGTCTTCTCTTGGCAACTGATGAAGTTGTGAGTTTCTAGGTGTTCATCGTCTGGATTAGCTGCCAAGCAGAAGACACAAAGAGGTATACCATTCTGTTCAATTGCGCCGCCGTGGGGGGAGCAGGTCCATTTGTCCAATATTAAATGTATGGACTTCTCGTGCCGCTGCCAGTCATATTTAGCAGGGAAGGAGTCAGTACAGAAGGTACATTGGAAAGGACGAGCAGATTGGGCCTTTGAATGGGCTAGTGTGTTGACAGGTACTGAGGCCTTGCGGCGACGACGACGTTCCTTGCGATCCATTGAGCCAAAGGAACGAGAGGACCGATGAGAGAAGGCAGAAGCAAAAGAGAGATCGGAAACAGATGAATCCAAACTGCTGGCAGAGGCGGTGCACAGTTTATGTTCAGAGCTAGCACGGCTTGACTCATTGTTACTAGACCCAGGGCGACGGGGCCTCACGTGACTCGATGGGGCCCGTGATGGACGCGAGGGATCGAATGGAGGATTGGCCAGGGCACGGGTAATATCGCTGATTGTAGCCGGTTCGTTTTCGGGAGGAGAGTACTTCCAACGTTCAAGAGGGGTCATGAGGGATACGTTGACGGATTGTTTCATAGGGATATCCACAGCTCCTGGAACGGGAGAACTGCTCCCAGGCGACGAACGAACTTTGCCGCGTCGCCTGGTATTGGCGAACCAGCTAGAAATTTGTGTCCGGGTTAGACCAGTGTCTTGTTTCAGGTCATCTTTTTCTTGCTCGGTAGGATAAGGGTTCTCGTTGTGGTCTCTCAGCCAGCCCTTCAGGATGCTAACTGCCTTGCGGGAGAATCGAGCACCACTTTTTTGAGAGCGTGAATCTGGGTCATTGGGATATGTGTTGTATGAAACTGATTTGAGGGCTTTCTTTCCTGTCAGGCTACCTATCGGAACATAGGCATTCTCTGACACGCTATGTAATGTTTGGAGGAACTTGCCAGGCGTTTTGGCATGAGTGAAACTGCATTCGCGATAAAGAGAGATGCAGCAAGTACAGCCATAGTTCAATGTACCGCGCTTTGCAACGAAACAGTCTAGTCCCATTCGACGGCAAAATTCGCACGGGTCTTGGGCCCGGAACATAGGGTAAACTCCGTCGGGGTCGACGGGATCAATAGTTTGTCCCACATTCACTTCGGATTGCTCCGGTACCGGGTCATTTGAGAAATCCAATGTCTGATCTTGAATTAACAAGTTGAAGTTTGCTGCATGTTCATCGGCTTCGTCGAGTTCAATATCAATCGAAGCGACATCGTCGTCTAGTTGATTAGAGCCATGGGCTGACGAGGCGCCCTCGAAATCAAAATACTCCATGTCGCAAATGATTCCAATGGGAAAGAAATGCTGTACAGAGAACAGCTTTCCAAGACCAACAGAATAATGGAACAATACAGGACACGGTGGAAAGTAGTAGAAGAGTCGGTCAGATGAAAACTGGCCGAAATCATCTTGGTCTGGGGTAGGAAGAAGGGTGAATAATCAATTCGGGTGGAGCTCCGTGACCTGGAACTAAAGGTGGGCACCATTCAGCCGCTGAGATTCTCGGTGACTCGGCATGGACCGCTCAATGGCAAACCCCGGGCTTTTTCACGATAAGCATCATTGTCACGAGGATTTATGGTGAAGCACATGCTCACGTATCCACTACATAGCTCAAAACTTGGAGAAACTTGGGTACCGTAGGAAGCTAATTCGAGGAAGTCCACAAAGAGTGGATGATGAGAATCAAAATGGATCAGAAATGAATGCATTGGCGCGCCCTTCGAATGACAACGCTAATCCTATTTAGGTCAAGCCCCGCCAATATGGGGTTCCAAGTTGCCAAGCCCCGGTGATTCATCTCTCTCTGTTATCGCGATATCGGACGTACGTTTTTTTTATTTTATACCTGTGTTGTGTAAAAACTCCAACTACTATCTACACTAAGAGGAAATTACCCGGGTCAAGCCATACATATTAAGCAACGTCGCAGCATCCCTAGGAGCCTACCCTAGGAACTAGGAACTCAGGAGGGCCCCATAAACAAACGCCCTCATCTACGAATCAAACATAAACTGGAATAGTAAATCCTGGAAGGTGCATCATCACTGCCATTCATCGTCAACTGGGAGACAGATGCAATTGAAGGAAAGCTTGCAAGTATTCTGCAACGGGGTCGACAAGATCGGAGGCAGAAACATCTTCGTCAATTGGACGGGCAAATAGACCATCAGTATTGTCGTAAAAGCAAGCTTTTTTATACAACAGGATCAACATTGTAGTATCAACTAGTTAGAGTGGTATTCTGTGGCATCCCATTGACTTTCTGATAGTGTCTAGAAATAGGAAATTAAAGACATGGTAGTGGAGTCATAATTATCAAGTTTGTAAAATCATAAAACAACTTGATATTTAGATTATTCCCTAAATCTTTAAGAGAGGCTGTATGGAGTATACGTGATCGGCATTTGCTACGATATACAAGCATGAATCTGGCCCAAATGAGGCGCTTGGATAGAGGGGCAGTACGCAATACACCGTGCGCCCTCTTAACGAATAATATTTCCCTGGAAATTGACCCTTCACTAACGTTTATTGCTTCAACATGAATCCTTATCTTCCCCCCGAAACTTTGACCCAAATATTTTCTTTCCTCCCAAAGGAAGATAGTTTGGCGTCGTACGCGACCGTCTGCAAGACATGGCAGGCCATTTTGGAGCGTCGGACCTTTTCTACCATATGTCTCACCCCTTCTCGACTCCCAGAATTCCGTCGTATACTCGGTCTTCTAGGCGGTGCACCCTCAAGTCAGTCTAGGCAACGGCGGGACAATGTCACGCGCCTTGAATTCAAAGTTATACTTCCAGAATACGATATTCCGGCCCGCGCGGCTCGCGAAAATAAAGCCGACCGTAATCAGAACAATCAGACATTTACGGCCGCATTGAAAGCCCTATGGGAAGCTCTGAGCGAGTGGCCCGAAGATATGATTCAGATTTCTCTATTCCTCTGTGCCCAGTCTCCGAGTGACTGCCTAGCGGACCCCGACGTAAGCGGAAGGCTAAGGCGATTATTGCAACAAAGTGCTGGCGACTTGTTCGAAAGGAGATATGAAAATTCTTTTCTTGAGCTAACGCAGGATGCGTCTACGCTACCGCCAATCGATATAATTGGCGAACTCGAGATTAGGACTGTTAAATATCGAAAGATTGCATCAGAAGCCATGTTTAGAATTATTTCCCGCCTTCCACGATTGAGAACACTTCGGGCTGAGATCGATGACAATGAAAGAGACAGTATATTGCGAAACTTTCTACGTCAAGGTATGTTGCCCATATACTGTTTATATAAGACCTCATCTGAAGAAAATATTTCTAGAATTTGCTCTAAGCATTGATGAAACGCCCAAATCTCTCCAAAGTCTCATTTTGGTCCCTCATAAAACTCTCTTTCAGAACACGAACCTCCCTACAATATCTGGTCGTGGCAAAGACTCCCTAAGTCTAGCTTTATCTAATATGAGTCAACAGCTGCAATATATGGAGCTAGATACTCTTATGGTTGGACCAGAACTCTTCTGGCCGCCAACTAAGGTAGGTCAGTTATGTTGGCCGAAACTCACCACTTTCAAATTGAGCTACACAAGTGCCACCCCTTCCGGAGATTGGCTTCTAGAGGAGGACCCAAGATGGAAAGAATTTGAAAGCTCCGAGTCCGACCTTGAAGAAATGGAGCCCTGGGAGCTTGCTCTACCTCATTATCTCCGCCTAGAAAAGATCCGCACAAAGCCCACCAATGCCGTGAATGAAATATATCTAGCTGCAGGGCGGGCCGCTCAATATATGCCCCGCCTGCGAACCATGAGTTTACGTTCTCTCGCTGAACACGAGCACCCTAGTGGACTTCAGCATGTCTTTGAAAGACATGCCCAACATTGGTTTTGTTATGAGCGCTCTGAAGGCAAAGCTACATGGGTCAGTTCTGGGGAATTTCACGCTACAAAGGATGTTCGTGAGGTCTGGAATATGGTAGCCAAAAGCCATGGCCACGACCAGATCACGATTGAAGTAAGTTTTCTCAAATGGGCTTTATGAGAATCTCTTGCTAAGTGGGTGAGTTCACTAGAACCTAGGGTTTCGTGGAGTGGCACCATCCCTTTTGACATGCAAGCCTGGGGAAATTGATGAAGAGTTCAGAAAACGCGAGCGGTGCTTTTCATGGGAGGCTTGAAAGGCTCTCTGAATTGGACTAGGTTAGATTTAGAGTCAAAGATAAGACATTTCTTTTTGGAGATTTGGAAAATTCCATTTTATCAGAACTCAGCAAGGCTTTACAGGTTCGGATTGCACACTTCAATGCTGTGTCTGCCTCACTACCGTATCACTACTGTTTTAGCGTCTCGAGGATCTACCTTATCGACCATTCTGACTAAAGCATATATACCTCACCTTTATTTATTTCATTTGGAAAGCCAATCCTTGTTGGTGGCCCGACACCTGTTCTCGCACGGATCAAAGAAAGAGCCTCCATTTCTATGACCACGTTTTCATCGGCATATTTGAGGGAAATGGTCTTCTCACCAGGGAAAACGAGTGACTATAAAGTACCATGCTCAAATATGACCTTTTGACAGATGTTGTATGAGCCAGTCAAGAGAGCTGAGTGGAAACATATGCTATCATGTATCCACTACATAGCTCAAACTTGAATGTCTACATAACTTGTATCTATGTATCTAGGTACCTACACAACAGCCGTGCGAGGAATCAATACTAGGAGTAAGCACTTACATTGACTCGTGCGCGCGCCATGTGCGCTGCTCCGCCTCAAGTCATGGTATATATTTTATCTGTGAAACTATATAAACTAGTTCGCCGTTCACTGCCAAACTTCTATGTACGTAGTCAAATCTCGTGGGCTGACGAAGTATAATTACGAATATCACATCTCTTATGGCAATAAATTGATGATTCAATAGTATTACCAGCCAAAATATTCATATATCTGTCTATACATAAATGGATGCAGCTACTATTTTTGCGTAAATAGAATCGATAATTTGGACGAGTATGAGTCATTTCTAAGAGTATTTGTTAATGAAGCTAAAAGAAGCTCTAAGTAGGGAAGCGAATAGACATCTAAGGATTGCACTTTGCACCTACTAATTGAAATTATCATCATTGAGAGAGAGTCCGATCGAGCTCGCGTAGCAAAACTCGTTCTCAATCTTTCTTGTCCTACCCAAAATCGTTGGCAAGTTCAACAATACGGAGTTTTCTTTTCGTGTAATATTAGAAGCTAAGTAGTTTTGCCTTGCTGTTTTGCATTTTTGGCAGCGCGTTCTTGCTCCTCTCTAGCTAACTGTGTTGTGTTTATTTCACGGTTCTCAAGACGCTTTCTTTGACAGGAAAGGCCGACATCTACCATCTGACTCACTGAGTTAGATCCTGCCGACGCTATGGCCGCAGTAACAGCCTTCTGAGCTTCTGCCTCGTTGGCAGACATGGCTTGGGCTTTGTTTTGAGGTGCTCGGAGTCAATGTGTCGAAGAAAGAAGGTTGAGGGTTGAGATAATCACTAGACAAAGAAACTCGAATATAAACTGTACTGTTGAAGCTGCTGCTACTTGGGAGAAAGAACATGAAGAAACCTTGATCTACTCACATTAAGGAGTGCGGGTATTTATATGTACTCTAATGAAACCCAGCAAATAAAGGCTTAGTCTGCCAACAAAGATGCCATGGGATCATTCAACGCAAACTGTTGATACTATTTTTAAGCAGGGTGGTCATCTGCTTACATGCCTAGGGGCTGTTCCTTTTTTGTTTGTTCGAGCGATGCCATGAGAACCTTCTTTGGCCTGTCATCGAAAATCAAATACAACTTGCTGGTCTTGGTATCATTTCATCTTTTAAACACAGGATCCCTATCTGTAGATTTACAACTAACGCCACATTCAAGTTTTAGCTAGTATAGGGATCATGGGATTCAATTTTTTAGATAGGTACATATCTGTACTTACGGGGGACGGTGTTGGGTCGGGTCTTAAAACTATGGGGGATGTCGAAGCCTTCCTGCCTAACCTGATAGGACCTTTGTTCCTTGTCAGGATTTGTCTTCCTTCCTCTGTCTCACGTATATAGTTACCTACTATAGCTCAATTTATTCCGGGTTTTGTATTGTATCGTGTTTTTCTTTTTTTTTTTGCCTTTTCTAATGTGTCATTATTAGCCAGTTCACCCATGCATTGACGGTCGCAGTGGCTCTGAGCGGTTATCAAATATGGATGATCGCTGGCGAGGAGCACTACAGTCAAAGAAACCAGATTACAGTATATGATGCTGTGTCCGGTTTCTCTCTCCATAAGAGCATTTGGTCATCGCCCATTGTTGAAGTTGGGTTTCATGAATTGTGGTTCTAGGACTCCGACAACAATATTCGGTTAATCTTGCTATTCAAAATTCGTAGATAGTCATTTTGGTGAATGCTCAACTGTCACTAGGGAGTTTTGAGATTCCATCGATCCCGATTTTATCGCTTGTGCGGGCACTACGAGTCACAGGTGGTGGAGTCACACTGGTCAAGGTTTTGATTCTGGATATTCACCTATATTTTACGAGACTTGTGCGGGAACCCCGGTCAAGTAAACAAAGAGATATCACCATTATGCAACAGTTGAAATTTCGTTCTTGCTTTTGCCCAGCGGACACAGCTGGCATCTAGGAACATTGAATCAATATACTGATACAGGGTATGAAGTTACGCGTGTTTTCGCGTCGGACCAAACCAATGGATAGGGCAGCAACTACGGTTCGATTGCCCTGGGCCTTTTTTTATGTATTACCAACGAATTTCATTTCCAAGATTCACTTATTGATCCACTGCAGTGGTGACAAGCAACATTTTTTCAACGACGTATTCACTGGGCGACGGTACTGCGTAACTGAATAGCACAGTTGTAGATCTCACGGATCCTGATTGATCTATGCTATGCATAGACTAACCATCCGGCAATACTAGCTTAAGGTTAAGCTTCTGGTTATATTTCTAGCTAATAGTGACAGAAGGGACTTACATCGAATTTCCCTGAAATAGCCTTGATGTTATCTTCCAAGATGAGCCACGTGGAGTTGCACAAGTTGTCATTCTCTGGTTGACCTATCCAACTCGCAATGCTGTCTGTGTTGAAGATAGGACGGATTGCATGGATTCCACCATCACCCGTTATGATCGTGAATCCTCGTAGTTGCTGGCCGTGGAGATTTATTCTCACTTGCCTTCCTGGTACTCGGTACCCAAAAGTGATGTTCGGGCTTGCTGCGTCTGCACTTATCAGATCAAATCCGGTGATATAAGTTTTTGTTCCTTCAAGTAAGATCGACACTGCCAAGCCGATCATGTTTTGTAGTGCAACGGATTGAATGACGGGAACATGCTCTTCCCAACAGTTTTTACACTTCATCCAGTCTTGCCCCTGTCTGCAATTTCTGTCGCAGCGAATTTCAACAGAAACCCCCTTCCAGGGTACTGCACTAAGCAACAAGTTGTTTTGAAGGCCAGCTTGATCGGTCGAGCCTTTAACCATTGAATACCTATCTGCTAGCCATCGGTTGTTTCTCCACTGTCGCCGTAGGGCCCAAAGGTGAAGATATGGTTGATCAATTCTTGCCGTACAGCGGTAAATTGATCGCCAGTTCTTGTTCTTGCTTTTGCGGCTTTGGGCTGCCTCCACTAGACAGGCTAGAAATCCACGGTCTCCATTGACTCGAAATCTCGTCTTCCAGAATGACTGGAGTTCAAAAAGGGTTGCCATCGCTCGCGATACATGTCGAAGTTTAAGGAAATCGGCGGTAGGGAGGTAACCTGCAATTTCAAGTCGTATCTCCATTGCGAGCAAGCCGAAGCAGTCAGTCTCAAAAGCCATGTTGCTCCTATGCCCTGTTTTGCCACTTTTTATTTTTGAAAACAGCGCTGTGGCATCCCCAATCCCTCGGATAATAGGTTGTCTCAGTGGATACCATTGACCTTCCCTGCGTTCGATAGAGCTATCTTTACTTGGATCTATCAAATAAGTCTCAATCAATATTATGCTCGTATAAATAAGAAACTCACCGTTACATATCGCCTTTGCCGAGGTTGGTATATCCTTGCAGACTTCGAAAAGCCTATCTAAATCGATATCCTCATTTACGAAATGCTTTATCAAGAGGAGCCAACAACAATCATGAATCAAGAAAGCCTTGGCCGGCTTACTCTTAGCCATAACATACCAATGGCCAAACTTCTCAGCACCACAATTTCTTGGATGAGTAACATCCTCTTCACTAAGCCAGTCAAACTCTGCCACAGAAACATCCGACAACTGGGTTCCACTTGGGGTTAAGTGCACTATGGGCGTTGAGTATGGTGGAATAATTATATCTCTCTCATCAACTGACTGTAGACTTACACGCTTGATAGTTTACCATCCAAGGGTAATCAGTGCTGACAGGCCATTCGCATGATACGCAGGATAAGGACGAATCGTAGTTGTAGTACTCTGAGTTGTATGACGACCCCACGGAGTATGACGAATCTCTGTTGGACGGTTCTTTATCCATGGTGCGGCAAATTTGATGAAGAGGACTGTGATTTAAATATTGGAGACAAGAAATTGATTCTAGGTGAAATATAAATAACTAGGCAAATATTTTTGAGCGAAAAATGTGAAAGAATCATTGTGACATCAAGCTCAACTTGTCGTGTAGCCGTACCAAGACGAGCAATGCACACAGAGTAATACGATTATTTTTCACTAGTAGGAAAGATGTCAGAGATTTTGAAATTGCATATTACTTTCCTACCGTCGATTTCCTCGGCCTTCAATCTGTATTCAGAGCGGTAGTACTTCTTTTTGAATAGAAGACAAAGAAAGACTGCTACTAATACACAATAGGGATATTTTTTTAAGTAGGTTTATACCATAGTTATCAAATATTTATGTATTTATTCATAAACTACTATTTAAGAGAGAAACCCGGAAATCTACTGAATTATTATTAAACTCGCCCTAATACTTAATTTCCTTAACAATGCAATACAAACTACTTCAATATCAACGTTTAGGCGTCATTATTCAATGGCTGTAAATATCCTAGTAGCCATAAGCTTAGCAACAACAGCGAAGAGTTGATAGAAGTATATACCCAAGCCTCGTACAATGGGGCTTGCTTTGTTAGTGTAGTCCTGCCAAATAAAAATGCTAACTGAGGTTTTGAGGTTAGGTTTTAACCAACAACTTCCTGGTGTCGTGCGAGCCCACTCGACGGCGTTGCCCATAAGCCTTATAATGTTCTAAGGTTAGCTCTAGTCTTAGTTATTATCTATATCTATATTGTTGAGGGGTCCTGGCGTTATTATAAGTGATGGAATGAGCCGTGTCTAAGATACTAAGGTTGAGAAAATCGATCGTTCTATCAGCCTATCGTTAAAGAACAAAAGTCAATGCCATAGAAACATAGATATCACATTTATTGATGCAACAAAACTTTACGAGACTGACTCTCCAACCTTGTCGCTAGTATTAACTGGTCTGAGGAGTAGGTATACAGGATACATTCAAGAGTTTCAGCTGACGATTCCGCCCTCATTAGGTTGACACAAATTCTGCTCAAGGTCCCTAAATTTGGACTGAGCAGTGTGCGTCGGGTCTGTCCGAATTGAAAATCTGTAAGAATAGAATGGGATACTTATTGCCTTGACATCGCCCTCCTAGTACATCTGATACGGTAAAGTGTGACTCTGGACATAGGTCAGTCATTGTTAATATCACTCGTCCTAATAAGTTTCAAGTAAGTTGACTTGAAGCAGCAGTGTACTTACGTTGATCACGGAGCGTTATTCCCTATATAAAACTGTGATCTGTGAATTAATGAGGCCAATAATGTTACAGATGACTGGTCCAAACAGTGATTGAACATCGCTTAGTATAAGGATAAACTCATTTGCTTTGTGATCAAACACTGCCATCCCCCAATCCTCTGATATAGAGCGGTAAATTGCTAGGGTTAATTGCATTGCATTTAGAAACTTCCTCTTGGCATGTTCGGACGCCACATCAGAAGACCCCTAGGGAGCTTTAATAGTAGCCCAAAGATAAGATCTAGGTTTCTTTACTCCTATATTCTCAGTCTTCTGTCGCTGAACTGCCTAGCAGACCCTGACAAAAAAAAGAAGTATAAATCAGTGATTGCTGCCTACTCCACACCCAATGACTATTGACGATTAACATATTCATTTTCAGTGCTGCCTATATTATGTCTTATTGATCATTCCAATACAATAATCTATTGTCGAGTTCTCCTTATCTAACAATAAAAGTCCGAAGTACAAATAATTTGAAAAATGCAAGCGAATTTGCTTCCTTTCAATATCTTGAGGTCTTGTGCCACATATCAAGTCAGAAATACTACAACTTCATGCATATTTGCACGCTGGTCGTACTAATAGCAAGATGTCCACTCCCGGAATTGTGCGTCTACATAATTTTCTCAATTTTCTCCATTAAATTACTAACTGTGGCTATAAATGTAGTATTCCGAAAACCAATTGATCCGCCTCTATATGAATGGAATACGAAAAGGATCATCGGAGGCCAAGATTGACCATTTATGGTCACACATCCTGGGGTTTTATTGGCCGGTTGCCAATGATTATGGCGTCGAACGTGAAGCTTATGTCGAAGCCGATTCCCTGAAAAGGACCAATTTGATCTTAACTAAGATCAAAGATGAAAAGTCGAAACGGTGTTTATACATTGAATGTAAACGCTCAATTTTCTGCCTGGATAAAGAACCCCGAGAGGGTATATGGGAAACATCTGTTGATCAGTTGAGAGAATATATGGTCAACGGAAGCAACGATAACCTGGGCGGAGATATTTACGGCATTGTTAGTATTGGACTGAAAGTGCGCTTCTACATCATGTCCGCGAATAGTGACAGGCTGCAAAGGTACGGTGGAAACTCTGCCTCATTGTCACTGTCACTCAGACAGGACAGCGGGAAGGTGCACACAATCATGGATGGGATTAGGAGGCGCCTTATGTAGAATACACAGGGGATATCGCTACTACTCTATGTACTATCGTGAAACCAAAGGACCTAATAAACAGCAACTCCATATCTCACATTGGCCTATCATATAAGTTCATATCATAATATGAACCTCAGGGGGCGAAATCTAACTTGTTTCTGAAATTTTGCCTGCAGAAACCCCGTTGCCTTTGCTTTTGTCTTCTAATATTTTGCATATGTTTATGAGGCAATTTTAAAGATAGGTGACTTTTCTGTCCATCGAAGATCGTGGATCTATAGATATACTTCTTGATTTAGTGAATGCGGCTGTCTTAGATAAGGTTATTAATGTATACTGGGACACAATTATCTCAGTTTATCAAGGAGTCATAGAGATACCTATCTACTTGGGTTAATCCTGTGGGTAATAATCCATCAAACAGTAATGGATTTTGGGCTAATAAACAAACCTAGGCAGCCAAGGCCTTACCCGTTGTCTCACCCTGTTTCATATTATTTTGTCTTTTTCTGCCTTGAAAGAGCCTCTCAATACTCTACTACCTAGTGCTCTTTAACTGTCTTATCCATGACCGGAAAATCCCCCGGCATATGGGGGAATAGGTGAAAGGGAAAAAAGGAAATATGAAAACAAAGCGGAGAACTGATATAAATACATCAGAGTGGAAGAGATAGACCAATCTTGCAATGGCTATCCCTGCAAGTGGCATATCTAGTGCCCACTTAAACAAAAAAACGCATCTGCAATGGGCTCGGCTCTTTATCAAGTTTGACTCACAAAAAGAAAATAAAAGGGGTTTAATTCCCCGTAGGTTCAGATAAATAAATCATCTTCTACACCTCTACGGTAATTGGCCCTTTCTTGGAATATCATCAACCATGTTGACTTCTGAAGTTCACAAAAAGAGAGATCTGGATGAACTTTCCAGGACGGTACCAGAACCCGCCGTTAGACCAACTGTAAGATATCCATTCCAGGGCCCAACTAGAATTCATGATCTAAAGCCCAGCAGATGGAACATAGCGAGTGGAAACGCATACAAAAAAAGAATGGAAGAAAAGAGGATCAGAATGATCAAAAAGCAGAATGGAGAGATTCCTTGGTGGGTGGAAGACGAGGAAGACTCTGTCGAACCGGCTCTCACGTATGAAGAGCAACAGAAATGTATTGAGGAGCTGAAACGTGCACTTGAAATCCGCCGGGCTGAGAACAATGCTATCCGAAATGACCATCAGTTCTTGGATGGATATTGGGATGGCTGGCCTGAACTCCGTCTTGGCAAATGGGAAAGTGAACTCAAACTTCGGACATGGGATTGTTGGACATGGGGATTGCATTATTGCATTGACAGCAGAAGAAGCAAGTGCGAAGCCCTGTCTAAAGAGCAAAAAAAGGATGTAATTGAGAGCTTGAAGGGATGGGTTGTTCAAGAAGACTTCGACAACACGGTTTCACGGCTCCCTCCTAATATAAGGTATTCCATCTTGGGCAGCTTTGCTTCAATGATCATTTTCAAAGATTGCCTGAGGTTATTCTGGTCAAATCCCTTCTGGTATTTGGATCTAGATGGTGAATTCTCAAACGGCGAAGGCGTTGAAGCCCCTCTCGGTGCCCGTTTGAATGCCCTGTACAAAGAGTTTGAGAAAGGTTATCTATCCCTGGAATATCTGATGTTGTCGTAAAGTTGCAAAGTTAACACAGCCTCCTCATTTTAGCGGAGACACGGCTTGTTCACCATTGGCGGGCGCAGACAGTACGCCTGGCTAATGTCAGATACCTCAGCCATATCACGATATGTGATACTGGCTTTGGGCTCGCAAATGAGGCTCTCCAAAAATCCAAGGCTTTTCAATTTGCCGCCGCTAGACTCAAAGACAAGACCTTCCGATGCCTACTCAAAGACGAAGACGAAGACGAATTGAAGGAAAGCCTCGGCCATGTATACTTGAGGATGTCTGAATTTGCAAAGAACATAGCCCCATCGCAGCCATTACTGAAATGGCGACTTTAAGATGAAATTCCAGACGAGTTTGATTCTCGCTCGAAGGTACTTCAAGCAGCACACATCCACGGTATCGAGGAAGGTGAACGGAGGCTTAACTGGCATAAAGTTCTCGCAATACTTCAACCATATTTCTTTCGAACGGGGGGATGGAACCGAGACGGACCAACGGATACGATGGTTGGCAAAGCTGATGTTTTCTTGGAAGACCTTGTAGGGCGGCCTGGAGATGCTTGGTCCTCGGATGAGAATGCTTTCCCAACAAGAGGAAAGAAAATGCAGCCCAAGAAAGCAAAGACTGAAAAAATGAAGGAAGTCAATACAAAGAAAACTGCACGAAAAGGCAAAGTAAAGAATGGAGCTGAGAGGAAGCTTTGAAAATACATATTGAAGAGGGGAACGCTCCAGGCTGTGTGCAAGAAAAGACCGGCAAGATCAATACGTGGTGGAAAACATGGTTCTCTACTGCAATATGTAGCACTCATGCTGTTTCAATAGTATGCTGCTTTCCAACCTTCCTTCGTTTTTCTTTTGGCAAGATACTTTATAACTGAATTACAAAGGTTTCCAATGCTCCCCTTCTTGCGATTCTATTTCAATCTCTTCCAATCCAATAAATTGAGATGCATGCATTATATTATATACTACAAATCAAGTTTCTCAATTCAACATCTCGCAGGAATACACACTCTCTCCCTACCCCCGAAAATAATATATTGAACATCACAGTTAGGACCGGATTTTGGATGGCTTCCAAGGTTGGTTAAAGAGCTTAGAAGTATTTCTATGTCCTGATACAGGCCCGGGTCAGATATAGAGAAGTTGAACAGCTACCAGTGGGAGTCAAGGCCAATGTTATACATATTCAGTCATAATAACAATTGAAAAACTCTCAAAGGTTCATCTTGTTTGTATGAAACTAGTTGTTCCAGGGATATAGTCTAAGCTACTGTCTGTTGCTGAATACTAATAATTGTCTCCATGTTTTCCTTTGGCTCTTGCTTCTTTTTTTGAATCTCGTCGAGAACCACAGCAAATGAACCGCCCGCTGGTAGACTTAGTTCTTCAATCGTTCCCTGTTTTCCACTCTTGACCTCCGCTGCAATTCGAGCAAAGTGGTTCTCAGTTTCCTCCGCGACATCGTACTCGATGATCCAGTCATCGTGAGGGATAGACAGAAGGTCGGGAAATTCGGCGACAAGCTCGGGTGTCCACTCTGTGGCATGGGCAGCATCTCGATTACTAATTGAGGACATGTGAATCACATGCGATCGGTTGAAACGAATACGCTCAAAGACTTGAAGGGCCAGCGGCACATTGCCGTTGGCCTTCTGTAGGCACGATGCCTGTATTAATCGTCAGCCACCACAGACATGCAATGATAGTAGAAGGAACGAATTTTACCACGCAGACAGCATCTTCAACAGCTTGGCAAGCACCCTGAGCTGAGGTAGGGAGATGGCAATGGGCTGCATCGCCCATAACGGCGAGCTTTCTGGACTTGGACAACCAGGTTGGAATGGGATCGCGCCACACAAGCTTGTAGTCAACGAGTCGATCCTTGGGAGTGTTCAGGGCGACTTCTGTGAGGGTATTAGAAAAACCACCTTCCTCGATGTGCCTCAGAGCTTCGTTGGTGTCTCCAGGGAAAGACCATGACTCTCCAATGTCTCCCTCATCCTTATGGGTCAAGACCCAAGCGAGTTGACTATTACTGTTGTTAAACCCCGATCTTTTTAACCTTCCAAGCAACAGAATACGTACGTGGCATTGTCCCAGGTGTAGACAAAGGCGTGCATGTTCTTGCCGAGTATCATGGCAGCCTGATCTTCGTCAGGGTTGCAAAACCTGGCGATTTGAGGAATCTTGCGGTGCTCGTCCGTCAAATCATACCAGGCTCGGTAGATGGCGTATCCGCTATTGACCCTGTTATCTGGCAGGCCGAGAACCTTGTCTCGAGCAAGAGAGCGTGGGCCATCGCAGGCAAGAACGACGTCTCCAAGGATCTTCTGGCCACCCTTGGTGATAACACCGGTCTCCTTCTCATTATCAAGGTACTCGGTCACGGTGAAATCGGTACCAAAACGCATATCGACACCAATCTCTTTGGCGTAATCAGCTATGATGGAGTGCTGCAGTCCTCGATGTCCGGCAAACTGAGTGTGGTAGTGCTCGTCATGGAAAATCCAGGGCTCGGTAGGGAGTAGCGAGCCCTGGCTGGAGAAATAGTTGAGCGTTTTAGCAGTATGCACACCTGACTTCAGGAGTTTTTCGCCCACAGATCCGTTGTCCCAGGCCTTGATATGTCGGCCTCCGTTGTGCATGAAGTCGAGAACATCGCCCTGGTTGCGGCTGGTGGGGTAGGCCTCGAGCAGGATAGGATTCATGCCACGGAGCTTGCACTCAATTGCGGCGGTTAGGCCACAGAATCCGGCACCGACGATGATGATCGTTAGTCCTTCAGACATGATGTTGACGTTTGGGTGTAAGGGGAGACAGATGTTGCTAGCGAATTTCATAAATTGTGAAAGCGAGAACTTGAGCGGAATCCAGGCAAAGACAGTCAATGATTGCGGCCTTTAACATCATTTTTGAAATCGGTCTGTTTTGCATGTGAGCTAAGAGAAAGTTGTAGTTTGATAAGGAGCCACTCCCGGATGGGACCCCGGGGCCCCGGGGTCCACTTTGAGCACTATCGGCCAACCATAATATTATCCGTTGTCGTTGTCTTTGTTCTATACACACTTATACAATTAGCATGTTTTCTCCCCAAGTTTCCCGATCAAGCTAGCACAGATGCGCTGTGTCATTTTTTCTATCAATAGCAAAAGTCTCCCCCAGATCAAGACGTTACAGTCGATGTTTCAGTGACCATTATTAATGCTCATCTTACTATTTCCCATTTCCTGACCACGCTGAGAAGTGCCTTTCCTCGTTCAAACTCGATTAGATTTATTCCCATCATGGTCGTCGTTGCAGTAGCCGGAGGCACAGGAGATCTTGGGCAGTTGATCGTCGACTCGTTGCTGGCAACCGGGAAACATGTGGTCTATTCTCTGACCCGGCGTGTGAGTGACATTGCCCGTGGGTATAATGAGGAGAACGCCACTGACATTCTATTCGGGCAATAAACACAGGCTCCTGCTTCTGCTCACTTAACCACGGGCCCGAATGGAAAGCAATATTCCACTATCGTCCAAACGGATTACATGGAGGAGAAGGCCATCACTGCCATTCTCGAGGAAAGATCTGTCCATACCGTTATCTGTGCGCTGAACGTGGACTTCGAGGATGTTTCCAACGCCCAGCTTCGGTTAATCCGTGCTGCTGCCGCTACAACCTGTGTCAGGCGATTTGCACCCTCGGAATTCAATGTTGATTACGACCTACCGGATTCCGTCCTTCCGTATCCAGAGAAGCGCTTCCATGTCGCCGCTCGTCGAGAAATTGAGAAGACAATGCTCGAGTATACGTACTTTTGCTGTGGTATGTTCATGGATTACTATGGAATGCCACGCATTAAGAGTCCCTTGCGCCCTATGTACTCAATCCTTGACCTGCAACACAACATTATCTATATACCAGGAGATGGAAGCGCTACTATGGCAGTAACTATGGCCAACGATGTTGGACGGTACGTCGCCGCGGCAGTTGACTTGCCGGAGTGGCCAAGGGTGCTGAACATCATTGGGTCACAATTGATAGTTAAGCATCTTGCAGACCTAGCAATTGAAGCCAGGAAACCACAACAGGTCCACGTAGAGTGGTACCCAATCCAACAATATCTGGATCACAAAGTTCCTACCCTTCCCAGCAACGAGCCTATTATCCACCACTTTCCTGGTGGTGAACCACAGCTACGAGCTCTTCTGTGCGACCTTGATGCGGCGGTGGGTCTTGGGGCTTACGACATTGCTCATGTCGAGGGATCTCGTAATCTTGTCGAGGTCCTTGGGGATTCCGTAGAGAAGCCGATGTCTATCGAGAAGATGATGGAGATGGTGTGGGGTCAGGTATAAGCAGCTGGTTGCATCTTTACTCAGGGGATACGTACCCTTTTATCAGTTAGAGTGTACAAAGTAGGGGTAAAATATTTGGAAAACAGATGCTGGCAGAGGATGGAAACGATGCGATGGAATTGGCCTAATTAAGCAGCCAGGATAGGGATGAAGTGGATAGTGTTTTGGAAGAACCACGAAATGGAAGATTGCTTTTACCCTTCAATAGTAGGATTATCTGTCATACAAAAAGCAATCTTGGAATATAGTATCAGTGAGAGATAGGGAGACACAATGTAACAGAAACAGGTTGTACCCGTGGACATTTCATGTACTGCAACTAAGGCTAATTGATTCCTCCATAAACTCTACAGCTATCCCTTCATCATAAAGAAGACGGCAGTTGATAGCGTAGGCAATGACAAGGTCTTGAAAATATCCCTCATCAGATAAGCATGTCTCTAGGTGATATATATCAATCCAATACCTACTCATTTGAAACTCGAAAGGTTGAACTTTTAACCAGACCAAAGAGGTGTGTATCAAGGCTTGATCTTAATACTGGTTTCAGATCTAATAACCAGCGAAATATGAATAGTGTGTCATATAGATAGTTAACTAACAAACAAGCGGTCTTACGGAATACTTCTTAATGACACAGTCGGCAAATTTGACGAGGCTTGAACCCCAATGGGCCGCAATTTTAGTGAAAATCGTCGAAACCATGTTTCAAAGATTTCGGTCGTACCATTAACGTCTAAGAGCTGTCATGAGACGAAGTCCTTTCAATCCCAGTCGATATCTAATATGAGTGAGACGCATCATACAAAACACCATAATACGTCCGCTTCCCGTAAGCGAACCAGAGAATTGCCGGTACAATCACACCAGCTGCAACCACGAGAATTGTATACTACAAAAATCATTAGTTCAAAACTCGAGTGAGTAAAGGAGATAAACAAACTCACATTCATGTTAGTTGCCGTGACAGGCAAAGAAGAAGGGAAGGACAGAAATATGACCAGATAAATAGACCACAGGAAAGCAACCCAGTTTATAAGCTTGCTCCAACGGCCGAGTGTGAAGGGTCCCTTTGGGAGGCTGCAGTGTTCCGAGCCGTATATGAGATATAGGCCGATGGGCAGCGCGTAGGTAAGAAGGATAACTACCGTGACACCAGAGTTGAGTCCGTAGAATGCCGTCTCGTTACCAATGTAGATCAAGGCGAGCAAGCACACTGCGACCCAGTCGATGAGGATAGCGTTGATCGGCACATGCAGAGTCGGGTGGATCTTACCGATGACACTAGGCAGGCCACCTTCTCTGGCGAAAGCCCACGTTAAGCGAGACGTAGCCGCGAAACAGGCTGGACCGGAAGACAAAAGGTTGAGCGCCAGGATAGGGATAGTGATGCCGATGGTGGCACCCATGCTGCCATTGGAGACGTTGTAGATGAGCTGAACGAAAGGACTCAAAGCACCAGCCGGCCCATTTACAACGCCGTCAATGTCCTGGACGCAGAACATGAGGGAGATGACCCATGGGAACGTCAATAGACCTGTGAGAAATACACTCCCATACACTGCAGAAATGTCATTAAACCGATGTTACGTCCCCCTTGACTTTCTCACACTTACTTGTCCGTGGTAGGTCACGAGCGGGATGCTTCATTTCTTCAGCCATGTGCGTCGACGAGTCCCACCCAATCATGCTGAGTGCACTGCTCATAATTCCGATAGACCATGCAACCTAAACATCTGTTAAAAAAGAATTGTGGAGATATATGAACAAAAGTCTTACCCCGTTGTTCCACCCAGTGTAGTTGGTTTGATCGGTGAAGACCCATTCCGCAGACTGCTTCTTTTCGACCACAACGAGCAGATAGATCAGGCTGAGCACATAACCAATGAGATGGAAAGCGATGCCAACGTAGGTTGAGTAATGCAAAATCTTCGTGTTGAGGAAACAGCCAGACATGTATACGGTAGATAAAGCCATCAAGATCTGGTAATTGTCAGTTGAATATTTCTTCTTCTTCCGATGTGATGGGATCTTACTAGGGACGTGTACCATCGCTCATGAACATAGCCATCCTTGAACAAAACTAGGTATGCCTGCACTTGCATGACATTTGCAAAATTACCTGCTACACTAATAAGAATCCAGCCCCAGATAGTCATCCATCCAGCAAACCAGGACACGACACGCCGGGCGTTTCGTGGGGTAAACTCAGCAGCGTAATGGTACTGTCCGCCAACGGTGGGGATTTGACTTGAGAATTCGCCAAGGCACAAAGAGATTAGGAATGCTCCAATAGACGATACAAAGAAACCCCAGACCATACTAGAGCTGCCTCCCGAGCTAAGGGCCTGCGTCATGGTTGAGGTCAGAGCCTCCCACGTCGTACTAGTACAACAGCACATGAATAACAGCGACCAGAGACTGAAGTTTTGCTTCATCTCTGAGGGAATCCCAGCGGTGTTCTCGAGCCCAACATCATTCTCGATTTTGGACTCATCATCGGCTTGGGGGACCTTTGCAGCTTTCGCCGCAGTTGCGTCGCGAGGCATATAGAGTAAACTCCAATCCGACAGTGTAAAATTCGGAAGCTCAGCACGAGATAATGGTACAGGATATACTCTGAAGGAAGTTTGAGATGGTCATGCAATAGGATTTTTCGACGCAACTCAGGCAATCATTATATTATACTCAGGGGCGATTCAATTAGGGTTAATATCTTCCGAGGATGTATAAAGTAGGTGAAACTCAGCACAAGTAGATATGGATGGATACTACCCCGCAAGATAAGCTCCAATGCTATTTGAACATATTGCGCTTCAACTTTCCCAATTGGGAATAGAGATCTGCCACATTGTTCTAGATGACTAGATAGCCAAGGCTGATTTTACGAAAAGCCAATACCTGGGGTTACCACCATATAAATCTTGCCACTCATATATTTTTCCATAATCTCAAATAAGGCGGAAATATCTAGGGATGTTCGGTGACTACTATAGGTCAGGTACACATCGCGTTTGTGGAATTAGGCCATCGCCACGACGATACGGGAGAAACATATCACTGGCCTACGAAGACGTAAAACTAAAGCATAATCGGTAAGCAGGTCGTCATTGTAAGCGGCCTCGGGAATGGCCATCCCTCCCCAAAACTTGTCTATGAATTGGCACTTATCAATTCGACTGCCTACTATGCCATCAATTCGCGCCCAAAGCTCTAGTGATTCAACAGAGCAAGATGGTGGGATCTTGTTAGCTATCCAGGTTATTAAGAAACAAGAAATCCGCAATATTTCTCTCGCTGCTTATATATTTAATATGCCGCGTTTAACGCTCCGCCGTCGCCTTTGTAGTGGCTAACATCGCCGTCTCTCACATAGCAGCTGGGTGTCATTCGCTCTATTGAGGATTATCGTGGGATATGTATCTTTTAGTGTAATGTACCTTTCGTGCTCATTTTTTTATAAACGAGAAAAGAGAAGAAAGAAGGTGATTGTAAAGTAGATAGTTACATAGTCTAGATGTATAAGATAAACAGATGCATGCAGCAGCTATACAAACTTTCCGTCCTTCATACCTTTTTTTCATGTACAAAAGCGTGAACCTTTTAGTTATACTACTTACTTCTCCCCCTCCCTCTGCCTAATTATGATGGAACAGTCTTTAGTTGGTTACTACTGGTTTTCTTACAGTAAAATTTTTTTATCTCGCTCTTGGAAGACCTGATCGCTACTTCTCGAAACCCCAGCTAAACATAATCCGCAACAAATGATCAATTGTATGCAATCAGTGTATTTTACTGAATAAAAATGAATTGATACTCCGATAGGGGGAATCGAACCCCCGGCTGCCGTGTGAGAGACGGCGATGTTAGCCACTACACCATATCGGATGATTATGAAGATTTACGCTGTTAAGTTTATGTTGAGCCTTATGGTTTAGCGCACTTGGTCTGCAGATCCTAGCATTAGAGCGATTAGCTTGCATGGCAACCACCAGGACCTATCTCGCCCCTGCACTCTTATTCAACAGTATTCTTGTTCGAAGCATGGGTGGGTGCCTCAGGCATCCTAAAAATGTTGGAGCAAGTGGTATTGTAAAGTAGGGGGGTCCAATGAATGGGTTTCAACTCTCTGTATTTCTGTATCGGCTTCCGGGTACAATTTAACGTATTCGGTAAGCGAGCGGCGGACGCAAGCGAGTGGCGGACCCCACGCAAAACGCGTCCATGAATTAGCACTTAGTTAGTTCAACCACCCACTATGCCACCAATTCGCTCTCAATCCTCTACAAATTTAATAGAGCAAGAGGGCAGGCTTTTATTAGCTATCCAGGCCTTTAAAAATCAAGAAATCTCTTCAATTTGTGAAGTGGCGCGCCGTTTTAGTGTGCCCGAAACTACCCTCCGCCGCCGCCTTAAGGGGGTACAGAGCCGCGTGATTTGTCGCGCAAATTCCTCTAAATTGACGGAAATTGAAGAGGAGTCTCTTCAAAAATGGATTCTCTCTATGGATTCTCGTGGAGCAGCCCCCCGGCCCTCTATGGTACGAGAAATGGCGGATCTTCTTCTTCAAAAGCGTGGAACTACCCCGGTTCTTTCGGTTGGCGAAAAATGGGTATATAACTTTGTGAAACGACATCCTCTTCTCTCCTCCCGATTCTCGAAACGGTACAATTACGAACGTGCAAAATGCGAAGACCCTAAAATCATTAGGGAGTGGTTTGATTTAGTTCAAAAGACGATTCTTCAATTTGGAATCGATCCCGATGATATTTACAACTTCGATGAGACTGGTTTTGCAATGGGATTGACTGCAACTGCAAAGGTTATTACGAGGAGTGAATACTATGGTCGGCGTTCACTTTTACAACCTGGAAATCGAGAGTGGGTGACTGCTATTGAGTGTATAAATGCTTCGGGCTGGGCCCTTCCTCCGTGTATGATTTTTAAAGGCAAAGTCTTTATTGAATCATGGTTCGACGGCCTTCCGGGGGATTGGCGCTTCGAAGTTAGTCCTAATGGCTGGACCTCTGATGAAATTAGCTTTCGTTGGCTTGAAAAGCTCTTTATTCCGACTACTTCTTTACGTACGAAGGGGAGCTATCGGCTTTTGATACTCGACGGTCACGGAAGTCATTTAACGCCTAAATTTGACGCAATTTGCGAGCAAAATAAGGTGATACCAATCTGTATGCCAGCGCATTCATCTCATCTTTTACAACCTCTGGACATTGGTTGTTTTGCGGCATTAAAACGTATATATGGTCGGATGGTTGAAATCAAGATGCGGAACGGGATCAATCATATTGACAAACTTGACTTCCTCGAAGCATACCCCCTTACACGAATTGAAGCTTTTAAATCGGAGACTATTAAGAATAGCTTCGGAGCAGCTGGTTTAATACCATTTGCACCCGACCGAGTGATTTCAAAGCTTAATATTCGACTTCGAACCCCAACCCCCCAGCTAGCCGGGGTAGTGAATCAAGCCGGAATTTTACTCCAAAAACCCCCTTTACGGAGAAAGAACTACGTCGTCAGGCTTCATCAATTAAAGCCTTACTTCGTACAAGGTCTCGAAGCCCGCCTAGCCCGTCAGATCGTGCATTAAACCAGCTTGTGAAAGGCTTCCGTCTTACAATGCAAGGTGCTATCTTACTCGCCAAAGAAAATAAGGAATTACGCGCCGCCAACGAGAAGCAGAAGCAAAAGCGTACTAGATCCCGGAGGCAAATACAGGCAGAAGCAGGCCTTTCAGTACAGGAAGCTTCTCAATTGATTACTGAGCCGGTGGAAGCAATTAAAGCACCTCCCTCCCCTCTACGAAGAAGCCCTTCGCCGGCTTTACAACCACGTACGCGGGCCCCACCAAAGTGCAGTGGTTGTGGAGAAATAGGACATAAGATTAATAGATGCCTAGCTAGCTAGATGATTTCACTGTATTTAATTTAATGGAGTTTTGGTTGACATATTTATATTTGAAATTAATGCATTGGTTGGGGTCCGCCACTCGCTTGCGTCCGCCGCTCGCTTACCGAATACGTTATATAAAGCCTCGATTACATAATATTAATTACAAAACATGAAGGATTAATAAATCCTCCGGTATGCCGGGCTTTATGCACCGACAAAAAACCTGGGGTCACATGACTGTTTCTCTCCTTCTTCCCCCGCTCTCAGTCCTCTTCTCTTTTCTCTTCTCTCTCGTCCGCGCCAGTGTTGTCAGTGATCAGGCTAGGTAGACGCATTCCAGTCTCTGATTCTCCGATCCTTCCCTCTCTCAGGTTACGGGCCCGAGTCTTCTCTCAATTCTGCTCAGATCTGCTAAATAACAGTCCTCACAATGAATGTATATATATGATGTGTCTGAGGTAAAGAATGGACTGACAACGCCCTCAAAAGGACAATTGCTATTGTTGTTAGTTAATGGGTCAAATGGACGTTATCAAGTGAACTTTGAATACGTGGGAACGTAAATTCGGGAGAGAGTTAAGAACTGCATAGTGAGCTTTCGATTGATGATATGATGGACGCGTAGTTTCAGAGGGTTGAATCTAATCTGAGAGCTCCTAGAAGCTTGAAAAAGCATTTTGGGACGACGCAGAATGGCGATCACGTGTGGGTGAGGTTGGGTTGGTTTGTCAGGGAGATTATACCCTGTTTTCTTCCAGTATTATGTACATGTTATATTCCGACAGTAGCGATCTGGGGGCTGGCTACAGGGATGAAATGGGTTTCTGTCAATTATGACCGCCTTGGGGGCTTGGTACAGTCCGCAAAACCTTCCAAGGCAAGTCTTCGTAGTCTTCGTACAAGGCTGGAGTTTCCATGGATCCATAAGTACCAATTCAAATCCCATGGATTTCAATAAATTTGGCATCCTCATTTAAACTACGGAGTAGCCATTAATCCATTTAAAGCTAAAAATTCTAGAAAAACCATGTTAGATAGAGAATCGGTAAATCTATTTATATGCCTTTTTGATATTTAGTGTACCACCCCTCAGCTTCAATTACAGCCCTTACCCGGCGGGTCATGCTTGAAATCAACCCATCAAAGTAATCCTACTATCAATTACTTCTTAAAATATATGGTTTCAGGTAAATCAGTGCTCTGGTTGAGTGCCTAAGAAATTTGTATCTCGAAGTTGGGAAAATATATATTGAGGAGTAGAACACTATGGGATCCGCCCCCCCCCCCCCCGGCATGTTGAAGCTAATCTTGCCGGATCGGGTCCTCCAAGGGTTTCCCGCGTGTAGGGCGCTGACGGTGTGGTTGTATCTAGGACTCTGAAGCCCTCAATGGTGTTGGGTCATGTGAATATGACTCCGGTCCCAGGACTGAAGTAGTAGATACTATTTTGCTCCCTCGTAGTTTCTCTCTCTCTCCTCTTTTCCTCAGAAACTCTTTAGCCAGATAGCCCAATACATTGTATTGCTCTCTCTCTATAGTTTCATCCCCAATGTATTGAAAATGGGATGCCAGGAGATACTAAACCTAATTAGGATCGGCCACTGTGGACAATAGTCTGCGACGCTCGATGAGGCTTCTCGTTAATACTGTTACAGTAGATCATACGGAGTAGTGAGGAAATTTAGATATACCAAAATATTCATTCCACCAAGGTATACCTAAAATTCAGGTTCCCATAACGAGATTATATACATTTATCTGATTAACATAAAAATTTGTACACCAAAAAAGGTCCGAATCTGGTTTACCTATCTATCTATAACTTCCTCACACTACATCAATCCCTCCAATTTCTATCCAAGCTTTAAATTGACTAATTTTCCGAGAGTGTCGCTGCTGCTTGACCCGACGCCAAAAATGACAGGAACAGATAAAGAAGGAAGGCTATTATTGTACGCAATGAGCGTACAAAAAACAAATGCGAGACTCCGATAGGGGGAATCGAACCCCCGGCTGCCGTGTGAGAGACGGCGATGTTAGCCACTACACCATATCGGATGGTTGTTGAATAAGTCGGGCCGAAAAGATATTATCGGGATCGGGGGTATGGAGTGGAGTGGAGTGGGCCTCGCCCATTTCGATTGGTTGACTTTCAATGGTTGTTAGGGCATTCCAAGACTACGGAGTAGTTACATGTATGTATGTACATATTTTGTACATACTAGTTGCATATCGTACCTGGCTGGCACCTTGAAGATCAATAATCTATTCACCGTATAGGGGGCAACAAGTGATTGTATATCGCAATAGTATGATAGTACTTTTCGATATTTATTTATTGTTCGAAAACAAGGGTTTGATCCATTGATCAACTGACCATCTTTCCTAATACATACTACAAAGTATATTCATGGATACAACAATAGAACCATGACCGAACATAATCCTAGCGGTATCCCAGGAATCCCATGAAATGCTCTATCTAATCTGCGAGATGGTCTTTGGGCTGTTCATTCAGACGTCGGTCACTATGATGTCTTTTTTTGGGTTGTCCCTAGTTATACGTAGAAAGATCCTGGTCTACATATGCCTTTTACCTCCTCCGTATAGGCATAAAAAGACATTCAAAAGAACTTCCAAAAACAAATCAGAGCCCCTCACTCTTATCACTCTTATCTTATGTACCTACATACATATGTACATAGGTAGCCAAGTTGATTACATGTACATATGTGGATCCATTTAGTTATAGGGCTAGTTATAATGGAAAAAATGTCAAGGACAGAAATTGCATAAACGGCCGAATTCCTGTCAGTACTACAGCCAAAAGGATCAAAAGATGCAAATAATTAATATGCAAGACGCCATTTTAGTCATGTCCGTCAATTCGAACTAAAAAATATTCCTCTGACTCGGGATCGAACCGAGGGCCTCAAGATGACTAGTTCTATAAAGAACAGGCAATTACAGTCTTGCGCTCTTCCAGCTGAGCTATCAGAGGAGTTGATACGATATCTATGCGTGTTTCAAAGTCTCATAAAGTTGAAATCATTTTATCGGCACAGATTGGATTTTGTTATCGAATTCGCTTATCAGTATATCAGAACATTGACATGTGAAACTGGAGATTTGTTAAACTACTATTTTAGTTGTTTTTCCCCCAAGGTTGTTCCCCTTTGATCCAGATTTTGCCCTAAAACCCTACTAGTTCACATATACCTGGGAAATGCCAGCTGGAAACCTCAACTCAGATCATCCCAGTGTCAATGGAGTACTCAGGATTTGCTATTTTCCCCATCCCGGCATCGATTCGGCGTCGACTACCCCGCCTATATTCTTCCCGGGCCCTGCCAAAGGCTACCGAGTCAAGCGGTGATCAGCGCCACGGACTGACCTCTTCATCCGAACCTCATCTGCTCTATCACAGTCAATTCTCTACATCAGTAACACCCGAGCTCCAACGGCCTTCCACAGCTAGCGATGACTCAGTTTCGTTTGACTCTGGCTCATGGGGATCAGGTAGCCCCCAAGAGGATATGGGGTCCCCGACGAAATACGAAACCGAGACTGGGCTGCGATGGAATCGAGTCGTACCCGGTGAGTCCTCTGGGAATTGATGTATACAATATTAATTGCACCGCTTTTACTGACGGGTTCACGTTCGTAAAGCGTTCAATCTTCTCCGCAATGCAGGATATGAAGCCCAGCAGCCGCAGGCTGATGACCGTCTGGCTCGTTCTCTCTACGTCAACGCTCTGGTTTACCTTCTCGATGCTTTACCTTCAGACCTGACCGATGAGGAAACTTCCATGCTTCAGCGCCATATCCCAGAGCCGATTAAAGTTGGGTTAACAACATACCCCCGGCCTGGGTATATGGACGGCACGAATCATAAAATAAGCCCCCAGCCAAGATCATATCTGCATAAAATTCTCGCCTCGATAATTGTACAGCTGTTCATTCTATTGCGGTTCCTTCTACCATATGCAAAAGTGCTATTGCGCCAGCTGTATGAGTATGAGCGGACACATCGCATTACTGAGCGCATTGTGACTACTACATTGGAGGCAGCCGACGGGTTGGGAAAGGGAAGTGTTAATATTGGAGCTGCTGTTGTCAAGTTCAACGAAGGGCGGGTTGGTGCTGCTATCTCAAGTTTCGCAGCTTGGTGGATGGAAGGTGTAGCTGGGGGGATATATGAGGGAGTTGGTGAGGGGATGATGCATTTGGGTCTTTCGGGGAAAGAAATGGATTTTGATAGACTTCATTTACAGGCAAAATGAGTATGTATATAGATCACACACATGATTTAGATCAGATTATATCCTAATGAGAGCAATGATTGATATTCATGGGGTTTGGAGCACCAAAACAATAGAAATCTAATGCATAAAAGCTAGGATTGCTCAATCTTTGGTCGCAAAGTCGAGAGCAGCATGAGAGAGAAGCCGTGTTGTGTCGACAACCTCGATCCCGCAGTTTTGTTCTGTGAGAACAAGCGGCAACTCGGTACAACCAAGGATAACACCATCACATCGTGTAGCAAGCTCCTTAGCAATTTGCACCAAATCGCTTGTCGTCTTTTCCAGGAATATGCCATTGATCAACTCATGTAGAATTGCATCCATGATGATTGCCTGGTCAGTGTCAGACGCATAGACCGCAGTCATGCCCCTCTTTTGTAGTGGACCATTATAGAGACCATTTTTGACAGTCCAGGTTGTGCCTAGAACTCCAACGCTCTTAAATCCTTGCTTTTTGCAGTGATTGGCAGCGACATCGAGGATACTGAGAACAGGGATGTCTGATTGGGCCACAATCTCGTCAAAAACGATGTGTGGAGTATTGGCACTGATTATGGCGAACTCCGCGCCAGCTTTGGCGGTGCGATTGATCGAGTCGGTTATCAGTTTTACCAGGGACTGGTTGTCACCAGACTTGAGTGCTTGTTCCAGGTCACCGTAGACAGGGGTGTGGGTGACGATTTGAGGGTAAGCAATGCCCCGCCGCGCTGCTTCTCGTCCAATTTCTTGGTGGGCAATGACCCCACCTTCAATGGTGGGGATACAGATTCCAATGGTTTTCATATTGGCTATTTCAGATGGTCTTCTTTGAGCTAGAAGAGTGGGAAGGTATACAGAAACGGGTTGTGTCCGATGGTCTCCGCGCTAGAGAGCTTTATATATAGTATTCGCATAAGCTTGGCGAAATGGATGGATGTTCAGCCCCAAAGAAACACATAGACCAAGGCTTGCAGATCCATGTCTATTAGCCAGTCACTTAAGAATGATAAAAACCGCCAAACTCTTGACTCACGTAAAAAATTGAAACTTCCAAGCCCTTCAATGTTCAATGTTTGGGGGTCCTGAGGATGTAGATCGGCGATAAGCAATCGATAAGCTGGGCGCCAACCCCCGGATGTTCCCAACTTCTTCCTCTGCTCAAGTAGACATGTCGACCTCCAAGTTGCCCCGCATACCTTCACTTCGAAAGCAGCAGCTCCACCTGGAATTGTGAGCCTTTTTACTCCGCGTAGGCGAATCTGTGTACTGACTTCCCCATAGCGCGAGCTTGAGACATGCAGCACCACCAGGGGTTTATGTGAGCCTCGCGCTGGGGGACCCGACACTCTGGAATGGAGTGATTTTTGTTCGATCAGGTAAATTCAAATTTATTATTTACCGTGCCACGTGTCGACTAACTCACAGTCTGCAGGTCCCTATGCTTCAGCTGTCCTCCGATTCCAACTCCGCTTTCCAGATACATATCCCGACCTTCCTCCTCTAGTCACCTTCGCGACCGACTTGTTCCACCCATTGATTGTACCTCTCACTACATATACCTTTAGCACTGGCTCGGCAAGTGACAACCCCGTCAGCGCAACGGACGATGAACGATTACCGCCCGGCGGATTCAGTCTGCGCCATGGATTCCCTCATTGGTTTGGTAGGGCAAAGCGAAGCGGACTACCATCAGGGAATACCTCACGGAATGTAAGCGGTACTAGTGCAAGTGCTGCATCGATGGGACACGCAAGCTCTGCCGACCCGCTTACAGATGGCGGCGATGAATCGAACGCGTCAAACCCTCCAGTGACATCGGTGGCTAGTGAGGACAGCGATGTAGAAGCGCCACGCTTGGCGCAGGCACCTGCTATGGATCAATTTACAGAACGAAGGAATGTCGTCCCAGTGTCGGAGATATTGGACTATATTCGGTCGACGTTTGATGACGAATTGGTTTTGGATTCGCTGCCAGTCGAGGTTGCAGGGAACACGGGAGCATGGCATGCATGGCAGGCACATCGTCGAGGGGGCCCTCGAGGACAACTGAAACAAGGAACTCCTCAAGCTCGGCTTCCCGGTGATTGGCATTGGGATGGAATTTGGGCTAGGCGGGTGAAAGATGAGATTGAAAACTCTCATTCTGAGCCAATGCTGTTTGGGGGTGCTGCTCGTGGGGCGGTGGATGAAATGGTATGTGACCCTTGATTTCCCAGTCTTGACTTATACTAACCACCTTTAGATTCGGTTTTCGCGGCTGGATGATACGACCATGAACTCAGTCAGGGAAAAGATGGCCGCGATGGCAGAGAACGAGATATAAGTGCTATGCAATATACCCAAATGCTACTTTTACCTTTTTTTGAAAGTATTTTTTTCTTATGGACTTAACCTTCAGAGAATTCCATGGATTTTCTGTCCAGAGGCCGTGGAAATGAGATGTCGTTGCCATCTTAGTCGTCGGCCCTGGAGTGGGCAGGAGCATATGGTCTTCAATGTCCTTTACTTCCTCCATTTCTCCTCACATCAATTTATTCGAGCAAAATGACCTATAAGCTATCATATGATACCAAAAGCTCAGCTTTAATTATTGCATTGATCCTCGTTCCTATCGTTGTTCTCATCTTCGTTGTTGTCATCGCTCTTGCGTGTTCCAATTACTGGAGCATCCATTCCCTCAAAGAATTGTGCCTGTCGTGCCTGTCGTGTTTCAGTTTTTGGAAACAGCAGAGACGCAAGAAGATCCCATCAGACTCAGAGGCCTCTCCCGTCCCCCACTCGAATTTGACCCGTACGACAGAGGCTTCAGACATTCGGATTGAGTTTGAGCCTCCTGTCAGGAATAGGGAGCATATCTAGATATCGGGACACCATGGAGAACGCTCCAACTACGCCAATCACTGTGCTCAAACGCCGCACCACATGCATAACATCTATCCATAGGGCGAACTCAACATCTAGCTCTCTTTCGAGCTTATCATATCCACAGATCCCTTCTCGCCGTTCGTCCCTTTCTGCCAGCGGGGAATACGATCCAAGCGAACTTGCGACATCAACCAGAACCCCGTCTCTTAGTGATAGCCTTTACAATATCGATGTGGTGAAAATTCGTGAGGACCATGCAGCAGCTTCTCGAGGTATCCGCAAGACTGGCCTTGATGCAAAGGAAGACCCATTTATCGACCAGGTAATTTCTGTCGTGGCTTCAAGAGCTTTGTTTTTGCTGATATTTTCCTTCAGACACCACACCGCCATGTTGGTTCTCGAAGAGGACTCACGACTCAGAGTGGATATCAATTGGTGCCGCAACTGCTTGTTCGCTGGAGCTCCGGATCTTACGGCTCTATAGAGCCATGTCTGTCGCCGAAGTCAGCATCAACTTCCGGCGCAATGGAACCACCAGCACATTCCGTCCCACAACACAAATCTAGAATGGATAGTGCCCGGGCTTTATCAAACATGTTGCGGCATGGGTCATCCGGATTACTTTGTCCGTTGGTGCTTCCTATTGCGTTTGCCAGCATGAGATCTTACGCGGGGTGGCCATCTGTGAGCACCGATTCGATGTCTGTATGGGCGTCGGTAAATGTATCTGCAGATGTTGAGCCAATTTCTCTGCCTGAGACCTCGAGCCTTGCACCCCTTGACATTATTATACTTTTTGACAGCTTGTGAGTTGACCCCGTTGGTTTACTCGTCAATGAACACATATTTTTACTGACCATAAAACAGGCAGCAGTCTTCTGTTAGTCTTTTGACGCCAATGGTCCTGGCATCTTCTGTGCTTGCTTCGAATTTGGCCATCAGCAGTGACAGAATAGCCGTGGCATGTGTTGATGGGAGTTCTAGAAACGGGTTTGAGCTATTACTTCCGTTGGGGTTCCACTCATTCGAAACATTGAAGCCTGCTCTGAACGCCTTCTCCCTCCGCCAGTTGAAGAAGAAAACCAGGAGATGCGCTGATGCAGGTAACTCTATTCGACAGGCATCTCGACTCTTTTACTCTTCTTCTAGAGCAGCGTTTTGTCATCTGGTATTCATTTCCGCATGTCCTCCAGAAAATCTGTTTATATCTGGCGTGGACAGGGCTATTGGTATTCACACAATCTCCCCTCAGCGTTGCTTTCCTCTTGGCACAGTAGACCATCCACTTGGCTGGCACATTTTCTATGATGCTGATGCTGATGATCCGCGATCCTGCGAAGTTCATTTCATGCGAAAGGTCTCCAAAGTCGTTCGGCAGCTCCGTACCGGTCTCAGTCCTGGAGCCTTATCCAACTTGAAACTGTTCGTTGATCAGGGCTACGGATGTTGGTTTGAGTCGGCAATGGAAGACTGCCATCTGGCGCGGCTACGACCAGGAGAGACCTGGATTTTCAAAGTGAAAATTGGTGTGCCGATCGAGTTTTATCGGGAAACTCAATTGACTGAACAACCCATGCTCAAAGATTTGATCAGGCAGATCAACACTGTTCTAAAAGCATATTCTTCTCAGCCGGCTGCCCAGCATGTTCTAAGTGCCCGCCTTGAGCATCAGCACTCTTTGCTCCCAAAACCGCATAAAATTTCTTTGGACACTCATTGCACCATCTCGCGCACCCAGGGCGTACCGCCCCGTCCTTCTGGCGATTATCGCAAGGCTTCAGCGCTAATGTCGTATGAACTGGATGATGATACGATCAGTATCAGCTTGGGATCTGCAAGCGAACTCAGTTGAGATCAACTGTTTGTATTTGTTCTTTTGGAGTAATCACGCTATTTTTATGGCCTTGTGCTTGATTTGCTCCTGACGGAATTGAGTTATGCTTTGTATTTGTACCTGTTTAGGAAGGCTCTCTCTTACTCTTGAAGTACCAATGAATGGAAAATTTTCCTTGTGTTTCAATCCAGTACTGGAACTGGGTATAGCATAAACATGAAGCGTACCTATGTATAAATAACCACCAGAATTCTTTCTAGATACCGGCAAAGCTCGACAACATAAAGTATTAGATGCGAGGATAGACATTGCCCGTCACCCGCCATGTCTCTTTGATTAAATCCGCACATTTCTCTCCAATTCCATAAGCCGGCATCTGGGTATGTCCTCCATGCAATGTAGGCATCACACTGCAATCAGCAACTCGCAGCCCCGAAACGCCTCTCACCTGCAATTTCTCATCGAGAACAGCCATGGAATCATTCTTCTTCCCCATGGCACAAGTTCCCGCCGCGTGGTAGCCTGTCAACAAAGTATTAGTAAACCACAAGGCCAGATAAAACTCCAGTACTCCGCCAACTCACAAGTAGTCGCATGCTGCTTCACATACGGAACCCACTCCTCCCTCGATTTATAAGTATGATGCTTCAAATTCGGCGGCCAAGACCCCTTAACGATATCCTTAGTCCCAGCACCCTGCATAACAACCTCATTCCCAAACCGACAAGCCTCACTAAGAACCAGCAGATCAAGCGGATCAGCCAGATAATTACAATCAACAACGGGGTTCGCCGACGCATCTGCCGATCCAAGCACCACCGAGCCACGAGACTTTGGCGCAAAAAGCTCTGCAATCATAGAAAATGCATGCTGGTTATTAATCGGGAATTGATCGTATTGCTTGGGACCACCGTAACACTCTGTGGTGAAAAATTCGATGTTTGGCTGCTGTGGTGTGAGGCCCATGGGATCACGTCCTGCTTTGCGGGGCGCCTTTTTCCAGAGAGGCTCGTCTTTCAGTCGGTCATCAAGGCGCGCGAAGGCGAAACTACCGAAGGGGAAGCTGGATAGGAAGCCGGTTTTCTTCTCTTTCCACTGTGCGTAGGTTCGGTCGAAGTTGTCATTGTGGTAGACGTGGTGGTCGTTTGTTAGGCCTTGCTTTTCGGTTTCATAGAACATGAATACGATCTAGAGCGTGGAGTGTTAGGATGATTCATGTTGGTGTTAATTGTTGTAGGGATTACTGACGAGGTGGTCGATAAGATTCTTGCCCACACCTAGAAGATTGACCAAAGATGGAATATTGTGTTGTTCTAGCTCTGCCTTGGGGCCGATGCCAGATCGAAGGAGGATTGCAGGACTGCAGTAGGCGCCTGCAGAGATGATGATCTCTTTTCGAGCGTAGTAGATACTAGAGGCACCATCTAAATTTTGGGTGACTACGCCAGAAGCGCGAGTCTCATTTCCCTTCTTGCTGAAGATGATTTTGTCGACAGTTGTATCCGTCTTGATGGTGATATTCCCACGGTGGTTCTTTTTGGTGACAAAATCCGCGCCGGTTGTCCGCATGCCCTGATACACTGTTCGAGGTACATGGCCACATCCTTGCGCAACATCGCCAGTGCTGAACATGTCATGATGCAGGGGCATGCCTTGTGAGACATAAGAGTCGAGCAGGAGCTGTGAGATGGGCGCTAGATCATGTGGCTCTGTGTGAAGAGGACCGGAGTATCCATGACTCTCTTTATCGGCTTGGAACCATGGCTTCGGGTGGAAAGTCTCCGACTACTCGTGTTGTCAGTACCTGTTCACTTAGGTACCGGCATCAATATCCCCGTGGAATCATGCCGCCTACCTTTCTCATATACTTGAAGAACTCTTCTCCACTCCACCCGTCTAGTCCCCAGTCGTCATAGTCCTGCTTATTGCCACGGATACAAAGTGTTCCATTGCACCCGCTGCATCCTCCAAGAAATCGGCCGCGACTCAGCTTCACTTGGCGGTTGTCAACTCCCGCCATTGGAGGAGTGACGAAGTTCCAGTCGGTCTCGGCATCGAAGTTGTTCGACCACCTGATCAGTTAAAAACGATATATCTATCAACTAGGCTTTTATAGCTCACCCGCCGGTCATATGAACATTTTCTAGGTCCTTGTTATGCTGTCCAGCTTCCAGCAGCAAGATTCTGACCTCGGGGTTCTCAGCTAGACGTCCAGCAACCACACAGCCAGAGGTTCCTCCTCTACTTCATGGTTAGCAAGGTTATAAGTTTCTCTGGATGGGCATCTTACCCGCAGACAATATAGTCATAGGTATCCTCAATTCTTGAAGCCATGGTGTATATTTCAGATCACGATTGTATAGAGATGCCAAATGAAAGATTACTCGCGAAAGACATAAAATTTAAGCCAACTTGTCACACCGTACTTTTGAAATAATGGAGCGGAGAGGATTCCGCATAGCATCTCCATGTTGAGGACCAGCAGGGCAATCTTACCTGTTTCTGTAAACAAATATTGGAGATAAGCCCATTCACATACCTTAGAGGCACGGTCCGGTGAAAGGCTAACAGTAGCCAACGTGTAATTGGTCCAAATAGGTGTAGAGACGGCTGAAGGCCCCAGATTGTGGAGTTTCGCGGAATACGAGTCCACTTTCCGTCTAAGGGGGCACAGTATGCGACCCTTATTTGGCATCAACTTACCCCCGCGTATCGGGATAGCGATCACTGGAGACTTTGATCCTATTGGATTTTATTAGTAGAAAATTTCCCATCTACGCGATTTTGTAAATATACATTTATAGGCATCTTAAAAAATACCCCAAAAGCCCCAGTGGCCGCTACGCGTTGCGCTACACGTGGATTTTCGTTGATATCCGAGGTCAAAAGCGGGATGGTTCCACCTTCCACCATATATTGTATATGAGTCTGATAATCTATTGAGATGCCGAGAAATTTGCCAAAGTAGGGGCCTCGTCCTGGATGGTTTGCTTTCCCCACACCGGATCCCCATCATCATCGAACTCAGCCCACTGGAAGAAAGAACACCCTTCCTTTCCTGGGGTAAGTCCTCCATGGCACATCCACATATATCTCCCTCGCGTCTCATGCTTACGTTGTACACACCGGAGAATCGTGTGTTCGCCACACTTGCAACGTGGCGTGTAGCGTGGGTTTAGAGTATCACGACACCAACGATATGTGATATTGATACGTCTGTTCCCGGAGATCGGATGTGGGGAGATGGTTTGAGCTGGAGCAATAGAGTGTTTCCACTCCTCTTGCATCTCTGCATGCATAACAAGGAGAGAATTGTGTGGAAGATGGATTGAGATTTGGCCTTGGGCGTCAGCGCGTGCGGCTGACGAAGTCTGGTTCCGTGTATAATTTGAACCTGGACTAAGCTTATTGATGCCAAGATCTTCTCCTTCTCCTTCTTCTTCTTCTTCTTCTTCTTCTACAGTCTCGTCTTCATCTCGAGGCACTATCCGACGGACTCGGAATTCACGTGCCACGCCCAAGCTCAAGCTTCCTATCACCGGGTGGGGTCCGAGGTAAGTGAGTTTGTCAGAGTGATATCCCACGCTTTCGGTCGGCCCGTCGTAGCAGTTGACAAATGCTGCATTGGGCCGCCACTCTTTTGGTGACTGATATTTTAACTTCTTCCCGTCCGGATAAACGTCTCGAATTCGTTTGTTGATCTCGCTGTTGACAATCTTCTGTACTTGGCGTGACACTGAACGTAGCTTTGGTGTTGCCTGGCGTACATTTGACCGACTGGTGCCACCATAAGTGTATTCTGAGGTCTGTTGACGGTGCTCTTCGGGTGTAGAGACGTACACAGCATATGTGTGGGGACTATGGACAGCGCGGTTGAAGAGTTGAAAGTCGTACCGAGAAAAGTGTTTCGATTCATCAAGTAATTCAAGGAGAAGTGCATCTGCTTCTTTAGCCGGTAGGAAATTGTGAATGATAGTACAAGGTGTGTAGGCGGCAATATCCTCAGGCGAGTAAAGATGTAGTGTTTTGCCTTTCTTTGGAGGTGAAAGGTTTTTCTTTCTCGCGTGCTCATGCATGGGTCTCATACTCCCATCTTCAGATGTTGTAAAAACATGTGATGAGAGAGATGTCTGGATGCCGCATAATGAGGCAACAGCAGTTCGTTTTTTGCTCGCGGGTGTGCCTGCTGTAGCGTCTTTTGTAGAGAGGAGTTCAGCAACATTCTCTACAGACCCTTCACAGGATACGAGTATATCCAATAGTTCATCCTGTTTGATAGCCGGGAAGAGAGATAGGAGTATTGCTAGCTTGGTATCAGTGGTGTCTTCGCAGGGATCCGATGAGTTTTGCTTGGGCTCCTCGCTTGCATTCGAAAGCCGTGGACGCTTTCTAGATATGAAAGTATCCATTGTTTCAAGTCTCATTTTTTGAGGCTCTGAAAAGTGATGGATGGATGCCTAGGTGACCCGATAAGCTCGTGAACATAATCAGATAAAATGTTTATCGGCACATGATTGCCGTGGAAGTGACCAATCAGATCACGGTGTTATAGATGCAGGGCCACGGCTTTACTCAGAAATGGATACTCAAGGATATCCAAAGACCACACTTAAAAAAAAAACCTCTAAAAAGGCTCTTTGTAATATCATAGGTCAACCCCTGGAATAGATCAAGTAAAGAGGGTGGTATTGACTAACCACGTTCGTGGTCGAGAATTGGCTTCATACTCCATAGACAAATTGAACATCGGCTCGGAAAAAGAAATAAAGTTAAGGGATAAGTGTGAGGTCATTATTATGGCTTTTCGGTTCTCGCTCCTTCCAGACTTTATTCTCATCCTCATTCTCAAAGCAGGTTTACCTGCGCAACCCCCTATTGTATCCCCACCTAGGCGTGAACCCAAGCGTTTCAAATACCATCATCATATTGAAATTCAAAGATGCCACGTTGGAAAGTGCCTAGCAGACTGTCTCTCCAGAGCTATTGCTATCCTGACGATGGAGAGAAATTTCCTGCATCCAAAGGCCAAAAGATCCCATGCAGACCGGATTCGAGCCTACCTCCCACTCGTCACAAAGAGAAAACGAAGAAGCAAAAAATGAAGGAAAGAAAAAGCAGAGTCATGATACCTTTAATTTTAGCGCTCATTTCCCGAATCCGAAGAAAACATCCCACGATATTTTCTCTAGAAGATAGTGTTCTAAGCAATGTATACCAACGCCTTTCCCTGGTCGACCGAGCCTGTTTATCCCTCAGCTGCAAAAGACTCTACAACTTGTTTGGCATGGATTTAAAAAAAAGAGAGTTTGATTTTCCACGACTTTTACAAATTCGAATACCTATTCTATGTGTGAATAGTAGAAAGGTGCCACGAAACAAACTTCTTCTGCGACTTGAGAATGGCCGCTGGAGATTTTGCGGGAAGTGCTTAAAGCTCCATCCACGAAAGGAATTCAGTGAAGCTTCTCTCCAGTATCCAGCTCGAGGGAGGTCTTGCACGAAATACGCTGGTATAGTTGACATATGCCCGTGCGCTGCCTGGACAATTCGTGAACGAGGGCGTATCGTGAAACTCCTTAAATCACCTACTACCACGGCAATATCTCAAGCCCAAATTGGCCCATTCAAATTCGATCGGACTGGCGGGCCTCATTTAAGCCATAGCTGTTTATTGCTTGATACATATAACTACAACGCTCGAGTCAAGATGCGTATATTTATCGACAAATCTGACTGTCTAGTCATACATGCTCGGTATACGATGAATTTCTCCACCATCCAGGGTTTTCTCAGAGCTGAGCCTATCTTTCACTGTCCTCATGAGAATCTTAATTCTCCCACATATTGGAACTTGTGCAATCGAGTTTGTCCACAATGTCCACAATGTCGGACTTTGATTGATAGAGAAACTACATTATCTCAAGGGTTGAAAAATGCTCTGTTCGACGTGAAACGGAACCTGGGCAGCTGCGAATGGCCTGCGGATTCTAGTTGGCTCTCTAACTGCCGTCTTACTGGGGATGGGTTTTCGCGCAATATCGGATTCTGGTAAGTGCATATATAGAAAGCGGACTGCCCGAATCAAACTTATTAATAATATAATCATAGGCTTTCTTCACAGCGACTCCAGCAAGAGATGGAGGATAACTATAGTAAATGGCTGTGGGAATACAAGCGAGATCAACGGCTCCAGCGAGAAGAACATGCCTGCATACAACGCTACCAGAAACGTTTGCATCAGGAAGCGTACCAGAGAAGGCAAACAGCTAATTCCATAGATGCGGCAATTTTACAAACGGCAATTAGCTAATGTTCAAGAACTGAATTTTGTTCTATATGAGCACAGAGGGAAGAAGGAATGGAGAATGAGAAATTGCACTGCTTCATTAGAGGCTCTTTTCTCATGACCAGGGAGGTTGGCTGATCTAACTCAAGGGCTTTTTGTTCTCCGTTTTATTTTCAACAACGGAATCGTTGAAGCGCAACGGATGAAAATTCGCTTGTTATTTTTGCTCCGGAGAAAGGAAATAAAAAGCACCGTGGAAAAGAAGTGTCAAAAAAGGGGGCGACTTGACAATAATAATGGTGGCTGAGATTTATAGCTAAAAATAGAGCCCTGTATTGCTTCTGAAGTAAAAATTGAAATGATACGCTGTATGTATGATGTATCTCCGAGCACGCGTGTCAATTAGTAAAAGGAAGAAGAGAAATGGAGGCCAAAACACTGGGTCTCAATAGAGCTTTGCGATTTCTTTTGAAATGTCCTTTGAGATGGTATAGAATGTGTCTCATTTCTCTTCCTACTGTCGTAGCTAAAAGGATAACTAGAAATAGCAAATTGTAGACTGACAGCGAAAAGCACAATTTCTGTAGAATGAACAACGTTTTAATTTATAAAATGAGGATATTTGGAGTATTGCTATTGAATAAAACTTGATCTAGTACTATATATACCTTTGATATGTAAATTTGATTCGATGGTAACTAACGTATTTCCCGGGCGAGCTGCGCACCCCACCCAACCTATTAAATTTAAACATATTTATCTCAACCGAAACACCATTAAATTAATTCAACTAATTAATTGGTCTATTTGGATATATTTCCCTTCGATACCCTAGCAATCTATATATTCCACACCCGCGGGGGGGGCCGAGTACGTGGCCGAATACCCGATTCTATAGAGGTGCTAGGGCCGGGGGGGGGGGGGGGGAGTGCTTCACTTGCTTCCTGTTGCTGTATAATTAATACAGAGACTTCTTCGACTGAGAGACCTTCTTCAGAGGGTATATACCTTCGAGATCTAGCCCGCTTTTGCTTCTACTTCTCGTTTTCAGCGCGTAATTCCTTGTTTTCCTTTACTAATAAGATAGCACCTTGTATTGTAAGACAGAAGCCTTTTATAAGCTGGTTTAATACACAATCTAACGGGCTAGGTAGGCTTCGAGACCTTATACGAAGTAAAGCTTTGATTGATGAAGCCTATCGACGTAGTTCTTTCTCTGTAGTAGGTATTTTTAGTGTAAAATTCCGGCTTAAATCGCTCCCCCCTACTTAGAGGGGGGGTTAGGGTTCGAAGTCGAATATTGAGCTTTGATATCACTTAATCAGGTGTAAAAGGTACTAAACTAGCTGCTTTAAAGCTATTCTTAATAGTCTTTGGTTTAAAAGCTTCAATTCGTGCGAGGGGGTATACTTCGAGGAAGTTAAGTTTATTAATATAATTCACTTAGAGCCTTATTTTTGTCTCTACCAGCCGCCCGTATAATCGTTTTAATATAGCAAAACAGCTAATATCGAGAGGCTGTAAAAGATAAGAGGAGTGCGGAGGTATACAAATAGGTATTATCCTATTTTACTCGCAAAGTTTATCGAATTTTAGGGTTAAATAACTCCTGTATCTATTAAGAACTAGCAGCCTATACCTTCCCTTCGTACAAAGAGAAGTACTAGAAATAAAGAGCTTTTTAAACCAGCGAACTCCTATTTTATCTAAAGTCTAACTATTAGGACTAACTTCGATTCGCCAGTCGTTTAGTAGGCCTTCAAACTATAATTTAATAAAGACTTTACCTTTAAAAATTATATACAGAGGAAGCGCCTAGCTAGACAAATTTATACACTCAATAACAGTCACCTATTCACGATTTCTAGGTTATAAAAGTGAACGCCGGCCGTAGAATTCACTCCTCGTTATCACCTTTACCGTAGAAATTAATCCTATCGCGAAACCAGTCTTATCAAAGTTATAAATATTATCGGGGTCGATTCTAAATTGGAGGATTATTTTTTGAATAAGATCAAACCACTCTTAAATGATTTTTAGGTCTTCGTATTTTGTACGTTCGTAATTATACCGTTTCGAGAACCGGGAGGAGAGGAGAGGACGTCTTTTAACGAACTCTATAACCTAGTTTTTACCGACTGAAATAACTAGGGTAGTTTTACGCTTTTAAAGGAGAAGATTGGCTATTTCTCGAACAGTAGAGGGCCGGGGGGCTGATCTACGGGAATCTATAGAGATAATCTATTTCTGAAGAGATTCTTCTTCAATTTCTGTCAATTTATACAAATTGGCGCGAGAAATCGCGCGGAATATAGTTCCACGAAGACGCGCCCGGAGGGTTGATTCGGGTACGTTAAAACGGCGCGCCACTTCACGAACTGAAGAGATTTCTTTGTTCTTAAAAGCCTGGGTAGCTAATAAGATCCTACCCTCTTGCTCGGTTGAATTTCTAGAGGATCGGGAGCGAATTGGTGGTATGGTGGGTGGTTGAAGAAGAAAGTGTTAAATTAATTGACACGTTTTAGGTGGGGTGCGCAGCTCGCCCGGGAAATACGTTACGTATGTATGTACATTGTAGTCATGAACAAAATGATTCTTAAAATATAGAGCTGTCCTGGAACTCATATAACAGGTGCCATGGTCTAGTGGTATGACGCTACATTGTGGTGAACGAAGTTCTGTATCAGCCCCGGTTCGATTCCGGGTGGCGCCATTCTTTTTTATATTTTTTATATATATGTATATATACTTATTTACTCGATTTTATTTTGCCAAACTACGTGCGAATATACAGATCCGATAGCCTCCTTCCTCTCCGTCTTTCCTTCTTTGCCTCTGAGGAAGGGGGAGGATGATTTCTAGTCTACCCAAATTACCGTCCCTCAACTAGCATGTAAGGAGAAACATCTTAAAACAACGTCCAAGAAACCATCGTAAAAAGATCTTAAAATAACATCTCTCTCTCTTACTTATTTATGTATATCATCTAATCCCAATCAATAGATCAAATGATTGATTGCACTACGTGCGTGATCAAGGAAGAGATAAAGGCGACGGCAGCATAAGCCGCTAGCTATTGTAATCAAATTATATGTGAAGATTACGTAGGAAATGATTCAAAAACTTAACTTAATACACTCCAATAAACTAAAGGCTCCTCCATTTACCCTCTCCCAAGTATACCTTTCCCTCCCGGTGATAGTCAACCAGCCATTTCATCTGCCGAAGTCCATCAAAAACCTCCACCAATGCATCGAGTGCCACCATCGTCCACCCATGATAACTCCCACGATATTCTCCAACAGACCCCGATACACCTTCTATATTGGGTTTCGAAAGCGGGTGGTCGCCCATCCTCGAATCTGGGAAATTCTCCTCAACAACCTTCACACAGCATCCACCCACATCTGCATCCTCCTCGGCCATCGAGGAAAGATCCAAGACGCATTTCATGTGCGATAACGCTTCTTCATCTAGCATCAAGCATATTCGGAGTCTGCTCGGGAGCTCTGTTTCAGGTATCCCAAGCGACACTTTGAAATCATGGAAAGCTTGTCGGATCGCTTCTTCATCCATGTTGGTGTACATATCTCGGGAGCTGAAAATCTTCGAAGAATAAGTCGTTGTGAGAATTTCGATTTCTTCATCGGAGCCTGTAAACGTACGTCGTAACGCCTGCTGCACGGAATTGTTGAGGTAGCGGAGGAATACGGGGAGGAGGCGTTTGGTTTCGGGGGCGTACGAGGTGCGGTAGACGATAGGTCCCCATGATAGGGTGAGAAAGTCACGCTCTGGACCTGGAGGTAGGGATCTCAGGCCTGGCAATCCTCCGATTCGGTAGACTTCTTCTTCGAGGAATAGACTGGCCGGGGACGTATAATTCTCTAATGGAATTGGATTGTCACGTCTCAGTGTGGGGGTGACTTGGGTATCATATTGTTTTGAGCTTATCATAGTGGTTGATTTATATATTGAGAAGAACGTATATTCAATCGGAATTAAATCGAGTAGACCAAGAAGGAAGTTTCATAAGAGGCTAACCATGGCGTCATTCCCATACTTTGCTAAGGCCGAGGCGAAATATTATCAATGTGGCTCAACCTGTACCTATCTAATATGGTTGGCTCAAATCTATGCCAGTGAATGCAAAATTAAGGGTCTAGAATGGTTCCTTATTACTGTTGGTTGCAATTAGGGCTGAATGCAACTATAGATGTAGCCCGTTGACGTCAACGATCACAAACATCATATATTTTCAAGATCCACCTCAGCCATTGATCTGTCTATGAGGGCCAGCTTTACCTTGTTTGTGTCGAATCTAAGAAGCAACATATTGAAAAACACAGTGTGTCGAAAATATATTAGCATAAACTAATGATGTGTTGGTGGCCATGCTGGTTACTTGACCACATCAAGAAAGGAGAATCAACAAGAACCAATTAAATTGAGTGATTTCAATATTGAAACGCAGATATCCATACAAAGTAAGTATAATAAATCAACTAAAAGTGAACGTGAAAGTATAGAAGAAGGCCGTGCCTGAAAGCCAAGGAAGGACCTCGGCCCATTTGATCCCCGCAATCCCGAGATCATACGCCGAATCTGAACTTGACATCTTCGTGACTGTTGACGTTTGTCCCTTTGATACCCTATAGCTTGCTTGAAGATCTCATTATCTCTCATTCTCTTTCCTACCTCCTCCCCCGAGCGATCGGCGCCGATCAGTTGCTCATCATGCTCCATTATCGCACACAAGGATATAACGGTTGCGCTGTCAAATATTCCCCATTCTTTGACAATCGTCTAGCTGTTGCAAGCTCTTCAAATTTTGGCCTAGTTGGCAATGGTCGCCTGCATATCCTGGAGTTGACTGCGAATGGAATCCAACCGCTAAAATGGTAAGTAGGATATTTGCAGACCCCGCGGAGGAGAGTGTGCAACAAACTCAAAAGTAAGAATGGAATTCTAACCATTTGGCGCTCTCACAACCTCCAGGTTTACAACACAAGATTCACTATATGACCTCGCATGGTCCGAACTCCATGAGAACCAAGTCCTCGCTGCATCAGGCGACGGCAGCATTAAACTATTCGATTGCACAGCGGACGAATTCCCTATCTCAAACTGGAAAGAGCACGCGCGTGAGGTATTCAGCGTAAGCTGGAATCCAGTCGCAAAAGACCGCTTCTGCTCAAGTAGCTGGGATGGCACAGTCCGCATCTGGTCGCCACATCGCCCGCAGTCCCTCCTCACCCTCCCAACACACAGCTGCACCTACTCCGCATCCTTCTGTCCACACAGCCCAGACATCATCTCATGCGTATCATCAGACTCATACGTGCGCGTTTTCGATCTCCGCACTCCGGCCTCCGCCTCCAATCACCTCGTCACCCAGATCCCTATCCACGCCGGCCCCCCCGCGCCCACAATCCCCGGCCGTCCAGGCGGCCCTTCCCCAGCCGCTGAGGCCCTTACCCACGACTGGAACAAATACCGACCCACTGTTTTAGCTACGGCAGGTGTTGACCGTGCTATCCGGACGTTTGATATCCGCGCCCCGCAACAAGGGCCGCTGGCTACTATGCTCGGGCATGAATATGCTGTGCGGAAAGTGGCTTGGTCACCGCACCTTTCTAATGTTCTTTTGAGTGCTAGCTACGATATGACTTGTCGAGTATGGAGTGATCGGTCAGACGCGGGACTGGGTGGGGATATGGATATGATGCGCGCTGGTCCAGTAGTTGGCGCGGAATTAGGGCGCATGGGTCAACATACCGAGTTTGTGACAGGTGTGGATTGGTGCCTTTTTGGAAGTGAGGGCTGGTGTGCTAGTGTTGGGTGGGATGAAAGTCTATATGTGTGGGATGTGCGAGCTACAATGTCATAGGATATTTGAGATATCAACCAATTATATATTGCTCTGGCAGGGTCCAGAGGCTTATCATTTTTTTTCCAGGTGCAATGGAGCAATATTATATAGGAGCTTTACTGAAGATATTTGTTTAAGATACCGGGTTTCCGGACAGCCTGCTGTCGGAACAACCTGCATAGATTGAGAAAGAGATATTGATCGTTTTATTTCGTAAGTTAATATCCCAGAAAGGCTAAAGACACAATGCATGGTGCGATGTAAGAACAAATGCGTCACGGTTGTCTATTTCCCGGGCTTAATGCTTAAGCTTTTTGTTGAAGTATGCAACGACTCAACGACTCGAAAACGGTTGGTATTTCCGAACCGTGCAAATATGACTCCGAATCAAGAGGCTCACAATCTTGAGAACACCATCCATGTTGGGTATTTGAGAGCATGGAGACTTAGGACTCACGGTCAGTGCGACAATATCGGCATATTGCCCACAACTTCCCAATAATCCATGGCCTTGAATGCTTGTGATCTAGCGACAGATCAATTTATTTGCTGCCCAGTCTGTTCTCGACCTTCTTGCGCTCGCTATCCCGAAGCGCAGCAACCTCTTCCTTGGTAGCATTGACAGCCGCATGCACCTGGTTGAATGGGTTCTCCTCGCTCTTCTCGAATTCCTTCCGGCATAGCTCCATACGCTGGTTCCGGCGCAGACCAGGGGTTTCCTGCTCAATCTCGGGCAAGCGTCTCTCCTCAAATGCGGCATATGCAGCCTTAAATCGGCGCTCTGGGTGTCGGTCGATCTTGGATGTGTCCTTCGAGGCGAGGGACAGAGCATCTAGTGCATTGTCAATACCAGAGGCGCTGAGAGCAGATTCCTTCTTGCTGCCTGCAGGAGCATCATCCAACTGTGAAAGATCGAGGCCGCGAGTCTTCTTTTGTGCGGTCTTGGCGTTCGCGCCCTTGGCTTTGGCTGGTTGAGAGGCTTCTTCTTCGGCGAGTAGGGCATCGCGCTCTGCCTTCTTGCGGGCAGCTTCGGCTTTCTTAGATTCGGCATCCTCCCTATAGATCGAATATGATCAGCTCGGTACTTGAGGACAAGTTCTGTGAGAGATTGAGTTCGCATACTTCTTAGCACTGCTCTTGGATCCCTTCGACCATTCTTTTTCCTCCGCTGCGGCCTTCTTCTGGTCCTCGGCTGCCTTCTTTGATGCCGCAGCTTCCGCTTTCTGTGCGACACTGTTAGCTTTTATCCAAATGATCTTATGCTTGAGGGATGTGGCAATAATAGCGGGGGCGGGGTTTGAAAAAAGAAAAACATACACGAGCGTTTCCGGCGACCTTTTTGGTGTTCTCACCTGCTGCTTTCTTGCCTCCCATGATGAAATATGATGTCCAAACTAAACGCTGGACAAAATCTGTGGAATGAATGTGAAAAGAAAAGGGTGGAATCGACTTTCTACTACATGATCTGATGCACGGGACCAATATGCCGACTCCGATGAAGGCGGTGACACTATAGTGGCCCGTGCATAGTGATGATGCCTCATGAATACGGCATCAGAGATTCCCCAGCATTTGTAATCTCCTATCTCACCTCAGCAGCTTCTCGAAGTCGTCTGCCTTCTTCCGGCCATTTATGCTATGGCCTTGATATGGTTCTTGTAATTTATATCCGTGGGCTTTAATTTAATTTATTTCTTGCCACTGCCGACTTCACATTTAACGACTAGTGATACAAGCAGTGTTCCTCCCTACTATGAACTGATAGTCTGTCAGAATGGCTTTGCTCTTCCGCTTTCTACAGGCATTCGCCTTGCTGCTCCTTGCTAGCGCAGTTGTTGCTGAGCACACCTCTAATTGGGCGGTACTTGTATCTACCTCTCGCTTCTGGTTCAACTACCGTCACCTCGCCAATGTCCTTTCACTATACCGAACCGTCAAACGGCTCGGCATTCCCGATTCACAGATTATCCTCATGCTCCCCGATGACATGGCTTGCAACCCCCGAAACGCTTTCCCCGGTACCGTCTACAGTAACGCAGACCGTGCTGTCGATCTATACGGTGACAACATCGAAGTGGATTACAGGGGGTACGAAGTAACCGTGGAGAACTTCATCCGACTTTTGACCGACCGTCTCGACGAAGATGTGCCGCGCAGCAAGCGCCTAGGCTCCGATGCCGGTAGCAATGTACTAGTATACATGACTGGACATGGAGGCGACCAATTCCTAAAGTTCCAGGATGCCGAAGAGATCGGCGCGTGGGATCTCGCGGACGCGTTTGGACAGATGTGGGAGAAGAAGCGCTACCATGAGCTGCTGTTCATGATCGACACTTGCCAGGCCAATACTATGTACACCCATTTCTACTCGCCTAACATTGTGGCGACAGGCTCCAGCGAGATCGACCAGTCTTCCTACTCCCACCATGCGGACAATGACGTTGGCGTCGCTGTCATCGATCGCTGGACGTACTATGTTCTTGAATTCCTCGAGACACAAGTGACAAGTGTCACATCTAAACTCAACCTGGGAGACCTGTTCGATTCTTACGATGAATCGAAGATCCACTCTCAGCCGGGTGTCCGTTGGGATTTGTTCCCTGGAGGCGAGCAAGAAGGCCGCCTGCGGACTGTGGTTGATTTCTTCGGCAATGTCCAAAACGTGGAAGTTGAGAATGCCAACGCCACTGAGCCTGGCTCTCTCAAGGAAGATTTGGCTGAGATTGCGCGGCTTGTGGAAAAGTGGCAAAAGCGCGACGAGGAATATTCAGCCATACTAGGTGACTCCACTGGAAATGCAACCGAAAACCTACATTCATCGTCTTTGCATGTGAAGTTGAAGAGCACTGTTGGGCCAACCAAAATGGCGGAAGACGGTGGCTGGGGCAAGCGGTTAGTTGGCATCTCTGTCGTTGGTGCATGCACCGCTATCTGGGTGGCCGGATCGATTTTGGGCCGCTCGTCTGTTTAATATCACACAACAAACCACCCAGGTCTTCTTTGCTTTGCCTGCAATCTTGAGTCTTTCCCCGGACTTACGGATGCATGGCCTTAATGCCCTCACTGGAATAGTTTTGGAGAACAT